AAGCCAGCAACGGAAAGGCTGAGCGCATGCATCGGACCATAATGAGCATGGCACGGTGCATGATCTTCGCCTGTGGACTGCCATTAAACGTTTGGGGGGATGCTGTACTGTACGCGGCCTACATTCTGAACAGGTCGCCGACTAACTCGAACCCGGGCAGAGCTTCGCCGCTGAAGGTACTAACGAAGCAGACACCGGCACCGGGCGAGATCGTCGTTTTTGGCACCCCGTGTACTGTGTATAGAGACCCGCGGAGCAAACATTTCTCGCAGCGTGCTCAGCAGGGCATGATCGTCGGCATTGGAGAAGGAACGAAAGGATACAGAGTTTACCTGCCAAAGGACCGCGTGGTGGTCACAATACAACACGTGAAGAGCATTGAGCCGCTTAACAAGACCCAGAACGAGTGGGTGCAGCGGCTGTACCTGCAGGATGATGACAGTGCTGTTGAGGACGAGTCCACGGGTGGAGCTGCGAGCGCCGCTGAGGCGGCCACCACTGAGAGCGCGTCGGCCGAAGGCTGACGCGGAAAAAGGGAAAGGTACTATCCAAGCAGAAGAAAACCTGGCAGCGAGAGCGTCACGAGACAAGTTCGGTCGCGCGTAAGGCTGTGGAGGAGACGGACGAGTCCGTGCAGCAGGAGGAGCCAGAAACCAGAGTGGTAAACAATGTGATGGATGTAGACATAAGGAGCTACCGAGAGGCGATGCGCAGCCAGTGCCGTGAGAAATGGATGAAAGCCATGAAAGATGAGCTCGAAGCATTCGAGTAAAATGGAGTGTGGAAGGTCACGCGGCTACCTAGTGGGGCGCGTCCACTGCATACAAAATGGGTCTTCAAGACGAAAAAGGATGCTGCAGGACGCATCAAACGGTTGAAGGCGCGGCTCGTGGCCTGTGGGAATGAGTAAGAGTTCGGTGTGGACTATGGAATCACCTTCGCTGCGGAGATCGACATGTGCAGTATGAAGCTCATCCTGTGCTTGACCAGGAAGTGGAGGGTCCCAGTAAGACACGGGGATGTACCAAACGCCTACGTCAAGGCGGAGAAGAAGCCGAAACTGGACATCTACATTCGGCTACCGCTGGGAATAGTCATATCGGAGGAAATTAAGAAGCAGCTGAGCGCCACGAGTGACGACGAGCTGGTCCTCGAGCTGAAGAAAGCGCTGTATGGACTAAAGCAGGCTGGGCGACTCTGGAGCAAACTGCTTCACCAGAAGCTGGTAGATTTAGGATTCAAACAGAGCTTGACGGACATGTGCGTCTACTACCGACGGAAGCAAGGAGTGCTGGTCGTCGTAGGCGTCTATATGGACGACCTGCTGGTCACCGGCACGGACCAAGACGCGGTGAACGCGTTCTTTGGAGAGCTATCGGATCTGTCTGTGAAGGACCTGGGAGTGGTGAGCAAGTTCTTGGGGACGCGCGTCACGTATGGTGACGAGAACGGATTCGATCTAGATCAGGAGGTTGCGATCACTGACATCCTGAATGAGTACGAGATGGAGGCGGCGCATCCGGTGCGCACGCCCATTGGTTTGGAGTGGAATGACCTGCCGTTGGATGCGGCCGAGACCTTACCGTTGTCAGGAGACGGTAGCGTGGTGACTGTGGCGAAGTTTCAGTCTTTGATCGGAAGTTTGATGTGGGTGGCGCGTTGCACGCGGTCCGACATCGCGTTCGCTGTGCACAAGGCGTCACGCCGGACACACAGCCCGACGATGGCAGACTGGAGGTTGGCAAAGCGTATAGTCAGGTACTTGTCGGGAGCGAAGGACCTGCGTCTGCAGATGAAGGGAGACAGGAGTTCGGAGCAGCCGCTGGAATTCGTCGCGTACAGCGACGCGGACTTCGCGGCCGACAAGCAGGACAGGAAGTCCGTGACCGGAGGACTCATAACTGTGAATGGGATGCCTGTCAGCTGGACCTGCAAGAAGCAGGGCGGTGTATCGCTGTCCACGATGAAGGCGGAGTATCGTGTGATGGCCTCCAAGTTACTAGGGGTTCGAGAACTTCTAGGCGAACTCGCCGTCGAGCACGTAGAGCCAATGCCACTGCGAGTGGACAATCAGGCAGCGTTGAAGCAGTTAGGGGGTGAAAGTGCAAGCGCGAAGGCAAAGCACATTGATGTGCGTATAAAGTTCGTTAGCTCCTACACGGAGAAGGGCGTTTTGGGCCCCGATTACCGTGAGAGCGAGCATATGCCCGCCGACTTGATGACGAAGTCGTTGAGTGCGCCGAGGATGGCCGACTTACGAGTCGAAGTGGGGCTGCATCAGGCCTCGAGAGGCCAACGTGGCGAAGGTGGAAAATGAGAGCGCTGGTAAGGATGCTTGACGTTGCCGGCGAGGAGGAGTGTTGAAGTGGGGAGATCCGGATCAGAGATCTGCTGACGATAGGCGCCGAGCAGCGCAATCACCTGGAAGGCAAGACATAGGTTAGTAGGGATAAGGAATCTAATCCCACTCTCTCTTTTGCATAGTTATCCACAAGTGCGCTGGAAGTGCAGCCCGTCCGAGGATCGAACTTCTACAGAGTGTACGAGCGAATAGGAGACGGACTGAAGAGCGTAACAAGCGACGTCTGACTGGAAACAAAGCGTCACAATTCCGTGATCTAAGGCCGATACCTCGACCAGAAAGCTCGAGCATTTTTACGTCGAAAAATAATAACGCAACGATGCAGACGCCAGAAGAGCTGCTATTTGCATCAACGATAATACCTCTACCGATTATTACCGACATCCCCAGCATCAATGCAAAGACTACTGGAGCTGCAGCTCCGACTGATGTGGATCAGCTGCTTGTTGGTGAACTTGGAGGTGATAGTTCGGTCATTTTGAATGAACGGAATGACGCTAAGTCGGGGCCGAAGCGGATAGAGCCTATCGAGAGTCTTCAACTGTACTGTACTCAAATGCCCCGTTTTCTTTTCCACCACTAGATATATCGCTTACTGATGAGGCGTCTCCTTGGTGCTGGATGTTATACCTGCAGGAGGGTAACAGTAAAATCTCAGATATTATTATCTTACCCATTAGCAATGGGTTACTGGTACAATGTGCCACTATGAATGCCGGCTTGCTGTCAGCAAGGCTACCCGGTACACGGACGCTCACTTTTCATTTATACGTCGCTGAATAATATTGTGGGATAATGAGCCGCCCAAGCAGTAGCAGCAGCACTTGGACTCGAGGCAGCGATACCAACTGGAGCATGACACGACAGAGCGATAGTACAGTTTTGCAGCCACCCAAGAAGATTCTGCTCTCGACTCTTCGAGTAAAGGTGGTGACCGCGGAGCCGGGGTCTTCAATGCCCCCGAACGATTCTGTACTTAAGCACCAACACCGATTTCAGAACTGGTTCAAGGCGTCGCTCAAATGGTGTGTCAAAGCACTGACTTTGTGCTGTCTTCGACAACCGAAACGCACGTCATACACAGAAATCCGTCGAGGCCCCACGCTTGGCAGCAAGCCGACAATCTCCTCAAATGCTCGGGGTAATTCGTCGTCTATCGAGTTTGTGTCCTTACAAAGTCCCTCATGTGAGCCGGTCCAGAAACACGCTCGATCTGTCACTGACAGTAACACTGAAGACAAAGCCGATGATCTAAACACAAGGAGCGCGCGTGTAGCGTCACGAGAGATCGAATGGAGCGGCAAGAGGCTTCTGTCGCCTGTAAAATCTAATGGAACTATGAAGAAATCTGGCACTTGGAGTCGTGACGAGCACGAACGGTACTGTGAAGCGCTCGGGATGTACCGCTATGGATCTTGGAAGCAAATCGCAGACCACGTAGGGTCAAGAACAGAACGTCAAGTATTAAGTCACGCACAGAGTATTCGTGCACGGAAGAAAAAAGACGAACAGCGGAAAGCGAGTACTATTGCCAGTCGTTTATCACTTTTAGAAACACGGAAAGCCACACCTGAAGAGCTTCTCGCAGCTTCGATGGAAGTTCCTGTGTCCGTGAGCTTGCCATCCTTCGTTGACCACCGTGCCGTCGTCATGGATACCAGTGCCGATACCTCAATTACCGACCTTCCGCCGTGGGACTTGAGTTTCGAACTTGATTTATCATTTACAGACGAGTTTGAAGTCAATATCCCAATAGAAACAACACAAGCAGCAACGACAGAAGACTCGGAGCCGAGGATGAAACGCTCGAAGCAGAACATGGACACAATCGTCACTTTCGACGCCCCACTTACTTCCTCACCTCTAGAAATCTCACTTGACGGTGTCCTAAATGACGAAGATCTGCTCGATCTTCTCGAAGTTTTGTCACCACGTGTGGATGTTGGAAATATGTTATGATCATTTAATACAAATTTGTGAATAAAAGAGGAAGAACCTACTCGCATCTGCTTATATTTTCAGAGTTTGTTGGTAGCTACATGCAGATGCTCGATGTGATATTGTATGGGGATTTCAGTCGATCTCCTGGCCATTCGTCCGGCCGGAAATCGCAGCAGGATGTTTGGACAGAGACACAGCTGAGCGTTGACGAGCCAACGTGGCTGCAGACGCGAATGCCGACACGGCAGCCAAAGTGGAGCTTGTGTCATCCGACTCACGCTCGCTGCTTCGTTGGGTGGCCGTCACCCCTTCAGAAGTCCTGTCGCTCACCATCGTCCCGGCATTAGCTCTCGAGATCTCTTCTTCCCACAGTTTGAAGCGACTCGATGAGCTTGAAAGCGAAGCCTCACTATGCAGAGAGAAATGACTCGATGTCTTCTTCAGTACTGATGGCATTGAAGATGCAGAGATCAGACGGTTCGGCGGAGTCGAACGAGTTCGAGGCAATGTATCGGTGGAGCGGTGGTGAAGGGCCTTGACCTCCTTTCGGTTCCGACTACTAGCCCCCATTCTCGTGGCAGTGGAGAAGTTCTCCACCCCTGAAGAGCTCGCAAGTGCCGGAATTGAATCGTCCAACTCTGTCACGATCCACTGACGGCGTGCTGGCGAGCGAGTCAGATTCCCCGATGCTAGCGGCTCATTGGAAGGTACTTGGATGCTGGGGCCTCCACCGTACAACTTCAGAAAAGTCATCCACACTTCCTGACTGACAACGTGATAGTCGCCTCCTCTGAGGCTGCCTCTGCTTCGTTGTAAACTGTGCTTCGAAACCAACTCGCCATTAACAAAGTCGAGTAAAATGTAGTTGGCGACAGGCCCAGGTCGAGGAGGTCTATCCATCCGGTATCTCTTGCATTGACGTTGACCCGGAAGCTGTAGGCTCGAACCTGCAGCGTCAGTAGCTGAATCCACACGGACATATTGCAGCCACTGGTCGAGCCACGCCGAGCTGATGACAAACCGCCTGCTACGAGACTCGTGATTCACTGTTGCTTTCAATCGAGAGCATGTTCGCGCACTCAAAACCTCGTCAAGTTCTTCAGCTCTAGTGACCGATAAACGAAGAGGATAATGGTGCGTTGAGCCACGAGATCGCTGCTCAAGCTGCAGCCCTTTCGTGGACTCGACAAAGAATTCTTCGTCCTCGATCTCGCTGTCCGTGAGTGCCAGGCCAGTACGTTTGAGCCACGGGGACGGACGTTCTACCTCCACCTCCACCACCGACCGACCGGAGATTGGAGCTGTAGGTTTCCGGCGACGTGCCGAGCAGACAGCAACCGTGAAGCGCTTGACACGAGGGTCATCCTGTCCTGCCATGTTGCGTAGTGTACTCGCACACGCACGACATGTACGTTGTGGTGCACCGTCCTTAATGAGTCCATGTTGACTGGGAGCAGAGCCCGCAAAGGGTAGATACGTTCGGTCGTTCGAGCAGTTCGCACACACGAGGTGTCCGCATAACCGGCAGTGATGTCGTCGACGTGTGAGTGTGAATGAGATTAGACAAATCTGACAGCGAGAGCTTGCGGTGTCGGGGACCCATTTCGCTGCAGCCTCCGGGTGTGAATAATAACAGTGCGGTTCCATCTTCCAAGGGTAGAACGAGATAGAGTACATGACGGTGGCATTGCCGGCTTCGACGGAGGCTTTCGGAACGAGCCGCTTCCAGGGGAGCGAAGTCTTCCCACTGGACATTTCAGCATCATCCGTGTCGTCACCGCTGTTGTAGTCACCGTTAGTAGGAATGGAGAGTATCTCGATCACATTCTCGTCGATGTCCTCGTCCGAGTCTGCGCTAACACGTCGCGTTGAGTTGGTGTTGCTATCGCGACGACCTTTCCATCGCTCGTTTTTCGTCCGCTTTGTCCAGGATTTCAAGCCGGTGAGAAGAAAGCTCGAAGGCCGCGGTAGACTTCCCTGCGTTGACCGTGAGGTGGCGAGGAGGGGCTGCGATGCCCGACGACGCGGACTCTGCTTGTCCAACATGAGTTACTCAATTCCTTAATGACGTCAGTCAGGAAGCACCCACGCAGTCACGCAGTGGGAAAAGCCGAATTGGCCTCGATCGTGCTTGGGCGTCGCGATAACTGAAAGTGTCGCCGTGTTGCTACGACAACAACGTTACTATGTTCAAGAGGGTTCGACGTTGATCGTTTCAACATTCTCGAAAAAAAGTTTTTATTATTGTCGCAAAATGTAGCGATGTTTCCAGTGAAAACGACTGGGCGTCAATGATTTTGACCTGCTGTAACTGAGTTTAACCACCCCTGAGCCCGTGCTTTTATGCTGCCACTGCATTTGATGAACAAGTGGCCTTGGGAAGAAGCCTATCGTAGTGGACTAACCATTTTTGATCCGGATTCTCTCTACCTTTTGGTGAAACGATTGCGAAGATTCTGGTAGCTTTCTGTCGTTGGTTGTCGTAGGAAGGACGTGTGACTATAAGAAACCGCTTACATGTATCTGCTGTAGGGGAAACCGTAGCATGCTGTAGACCTGCACTTTCGGAAAATACTAAGTACGTTCTACATGCCCTGGGTGGGGTGCACTGGTGCGTTCCATCGAGCAATCGATCGAGGCACGAAAAACCCTCGACGAGCACGAGAGTCTGGGGGCGAGTCTTCGGGCTTTGACACGGTCGGTGGCGAATAATGCTCGTCGAAACATCCAGCACTGCACAGACGTTAAGAGCCCATCAAGTAGCAGTAATTGATGATACCGTCGCACCTTTCCATTTGACGCTTGAGCTGATCGTATATCTCGTAGCAGTCAGTCGCTAGCCCCGCCTAAATCGACACAGAGTTCGCGTCAGAAATCATCAAAGAGGGAGAAGAGTTTCGCTGAGCACGTACATGGACAATGACCTCGACCAGGAAGCCGTTTGTAGCGTCGTACGTAACTTGGGTGCGAACCGGTGGAGCGATGAACAGCTCCCAGTTTTGGCGTACGCGAGTAAAGAACTCCATCCACGTTTGGCATTTCGGTTGGACGGCTGGTTCACTCCACAGAACTTTAACCACCCGGATAGACTCTCGGACACTCGCTTTCCTCGACTCGATGACTCTCTTCCGACGGCTACTGCATCGTGCTCGAGTTACAGACGGAGTAGAGCCTTCAGAGGAGAGTAACTCGTCCAGTGGGGTTCGTAGAAATTGCTCGAATGCAGAGACGTTGATACGACGAGGAGCGTTGGCAAAGACCATGCGTTGAGTACGCGCAAGACGACGAGATCCTAAGCGAATCCCCACTCTCACCAACCAGATAACTACCACCAACCAGATCATATTTATCACGAACCAGAGTGCCGGATACCCGATGAAGTTTTCGACTACCAAATCCTTGATCCATTGAAGTGATGGAGGGGTAGCTTTGTCCATTCCAAGAAGGTTCCCGTCCGTGATTCGATCCAGCAACTCAAAGGCAAGAATGGCTGCAAACATAAACAACAGGATGTCGAACGAGCCTTTGAGTGAACGCTGGTTAGCTCGTGTGGCCTCAGCGAGCACAGCTACGTTGCGCTCGACTCCAAGGACCAAACCTTCCAGCATCATCTTGGCCATTGTCCCATTCTGACTTTGTACTTGTTTCAGCTTGGCTCGAAAGCCTCGAAGTAGCTTGGCCAGGTCTTTACAGCGCATTTCCAGGTCTTTGTGGGTCTTACGTAGCTCCAAATGGTCGTACAACGCAGCTCCACCCCCAGTGGGGTCATCTTCGGAAGGCGTTGGCCGGGAGGGGATGGTGTGTGCTAACCCACGTAGTGACTCGCGTAGAAGCTCGAGGATTTCCTCTAGAAGCACGAGATCATGCGCACAGCGACTCACTCGGTCACGCATGTCATCCAGCGCTTCCGGGTTCATCTCGAAGCTCGTCATGTAGTTGCGTGCACGAGCCAATACGTCACCCAAGATAAAAGTTCGTTTGAAGAAGAACCGGACGACGAGTTCTCGTGACAGTAGAGCCAAGTGAGCAACCAGCAATGGCTCGTGTTTGTTGGCATTCGGTCCGGCAAGTAGCATCCCGTCGTGTCCAACCAAGAGCTTGTCGTCTTTACCGATGTCGTGCACGGAATGCAGCTCTCCCAGCACCTGCTTTAGCTCGTTCTCTTTTTCGCCGCGATCAAGATATGCTCGAGCTGGAAGTTTCGGTGATATTCCACTAGCGGTTAGCAGTGCGAACTTGTTCCTCGATCGTGCGTCGCCCATGAACAGCATGTCCAGTAGCCCACGCTGGTGTGAAGACAGTAAATCGTTGATAATCTTGGACGAATCCAAGTCCACATCCACTAGCAGACGGGCGAGGTGATCGACACATAGGAAATCTGCGGAGCGGTCCATCGTAGCGTCAATCTCCATCCCGTAGACGATGGAGCCGTCTCCATTCAGATGCATTCCGAAACTCTCGATCTGAATAATCCCATCCTCAATAGGAGCGTAGATATCTGCCTCAAAATTAGTGAAGCAGTCGAACTCGAAGTCTACAATCGCAATCTTGGTGAGGCCTGGCTCAATCGCTAGCGACGTCGACGTTGGTGCGTCATCAAGCTCCGACGTAAAGAGTCCTCCCTGACAGCGCTCGAGAGACCCCAGACGGTCGTTTAATAGCACGATCTGGTTCGGTCCAAAGGGAATCCACTCACCCACCATCAGACGAACGTTTTCCAGTACAATAGCAAAAGACAGATCGGCGTCTTGAATACTACTACTCCCAACACTCGCTGCTCCTTTTCGACATTTTTCAGCTTGCCACGCGTTGGAAGAGAAGTTTGCAGTGCCATTTCTCATCAGACACGACGGCAGATAGGGACTGGACACGTACGAGACCTCCTCGATATCTGTGACACGAGAGACGTAGACGCTTCCGTCTCCGCGTCGAATTCTGAAGTGGCCTTTGTCCGGGTCGTACGTGATTTTGAGCAGAGGGTTCTCCACTAGAACGAGACCGGATGGGTTGGTAGTGGTTAGAGGCCGCAGTGCTGGCCTCGGAGACTCCGCTGAAGCCGGAACAATGTCAGGTAGTGAACTTCTCGGGGCTGTGAGGAACTCGTCGAGTCGCTGCTTGTCTCGAGGAGGCAGCGACGCAAGTACCGTCATCCCCTCCTTCGTGACCTGGTAGGCTGTGGAAGGCTGAAAGTCCTCGCTGCAAGTCTTTAGGGCGTTCACCAGTTCGTGTTCCCGTAGATCGTCAATAGCTGCTCGAGCGTCGTGGCTCATGTTGAGCCACAGTCTTCTGGACTGTCCGTCCTTGACGATACTCGTGCACACAGGCGAGTAGTCGAAGGCCAGAAGACCGTGTACAATGGTTTCGAACACCATCACTTGAAGAGGTAGACTACGCAGCCACTTCTCTTCCTCGTCGGTTGAACTGGGATACGTGGCGAACCGAGACAGTAGATACAGCAGACGCAGGTGGCTCGGAGTCCAATTGGAGTCGTCTTCGTGAGACAACGACGAGTGCAACGCGTCTAGCTCCATACGACTGTCCATACCCAATGTTTCTTCACGAACACCTGACACGCGCAGCGCCATCATCGTGGTGAAGGAGTCCGGGAACTGAATAATGATCTTCAAGAGGCGTGTTTGTCTCTTATTGAAGCGATTAAAAACAATTAATTGATAAACAAACAGCTCAATTATAAAAATAAAAATTGCAATGAAACTTGAGTACCTAAATAATAATTGGCTTTTAAATTCTTTAAGTGTTGTTTTTAAGAAAAAGCAAAAGCAAAACATTTTAAATAAAGCTGCTTAAGAAAAACCAATTTGTTTTTTTGAAAAAAAGCATTTCTAATTAGCAATTCTTTTTTTGCATACCAATGGAGCGGGATGACTCGGTCAACGCGCTGAGCGTCATCGAGGAGGGCGACGAGCAAGACCTGAACGCGGAGGCCTTTGCAGACATGGCCATGAGCGGGATGGACATGAATCTGGAGCTCAACACCATGCAGATCGACAGAAACGGCGCCGCCGTGCAGCCATCAGAGACTCAAACAAAGCGCAGCGCCTACGAAGAGTTGAAAAATGGCGCTGTCCATTATTCCAGACGAGAGGACAAGATGCAGGTGCTGCAGGAGCACCCAGCGGTGGCGTCCGTGTCGACGGACGGGAGGTCCGTGGGCTGCAGATGTGGACGCAGTGTGAGACTGAATCCGCCGTGGTACATTCTTAAGTTCGAGCAGCACGTGGCCAGTCGGAATTGCACTTTTTTAAGACAAAGTAGGCCCAGAAAGAGAAAGAGAACGGAGGATAAAGAGACAGGAGAAGCAGAGGAACAGCGAGATACAGATCAGCAAGAAACGCAGGGAGATCAACAAGACGAAGACGAGGAAGACAGTGGAGTATACTCGCTGCAGTCAGTGGACGCAATATTGCGGCGAGAGTTTGGAGTGATAGAAAATGGCCAGCGCCAGATTAAGCCCCCTCCTGACGATTCCCCCAACCTTCTTGCTAGGATGTTCAAAGGAGCGATGACATTGCGCGAGAACCCTCATTTTAAGCGGATTACACCTGATGGGAAGTTTGTGGAGTGCAAATGCTCTCGAATAGTACTTCTGGGCGCACCGTGGCAGCCTGGACACTTTCTAATGCACGTCGCTGACAAGCAGAAGCCAAAGAAACGAGCAAAACCTGCTGCTACAGCTGTAGCGAGTGCAGAGTGGAAAAATAAAAGAGTGCCCGCTACAGCGAGGACGATGATTTCACACGGTGTCCTCATGAGACCGCCGACGTCCGCAAGTGCGCTGTTACATGCATACAAAAGCAAAAAGAGCTTCCCACGCGACATCCGGTGGGACGTGGCTCGCGCTCGTGGTTTACTGCCGTGTCCAGGGCTGCGAGACGAACGTATGAACACGTTTGTGACGTGGGCGATCCAATTGACTGGAGGGGCGCGACATCGACAGAAAATTGCTCGAGAACTCTTCCCTCATCTCTTTCCCGACAACGCGGAGTACGATCATAGAGACGAAGCAGGGCATGGAGATTTGGGTTATGTTAACACAACACAGAAGCGACAGCCGAAGCTCCAACAGCTTCTTGAAGCGGAGAAATTGCTGCTGCACGATGTAATTGAGGGCGAGGCGCTGTGGTTCGTGGATAAAGATGGCAACTCAGTGCGCAGTCTGGACTGTCTCGGCGTCGTTGAATCTAGCAAAGGGGTGGACCGATGTCTGTCCTGTACTGCTCTCCGCAGTAACGTGGCTCTGAGAACAGCAGCAGCTGCGAAGTACAAGGTTGCAACACGTCCAGGACCGCCACGCAACCCGATCAATAGGAAATTCTGTTCGGGACGCGTGTGCGCACTGCTCGAAGCTGAATTCGACATGCAAGAACCGTATGCCAGAGTACTACGCGACTTGGCACTCGCTGATATCCCCAGTGCTTTGAATACGTGGATGGAGATGGCTACAATGGGTCTTTCAGGCGATTTTGACTCGCATTCAGCTCTACTTGGACTTATAGAGGCGATGGTACGATTGAAAGACAAGGAGCAACGTGGCGTGGGATTACAGAATATGACGTACAGTGATCTTCTGGATTCGTTTATGCGCTCACTCGCTGAGTTATCATCAGAAGCGTGCGAGTTGTTCCAGCGGCATTTAGGCGGGCGTAAGCAAAAACAATTACTAGCGGCGACGTCAAGACCGATCAAGCGTAAAGTTCAGCCCCCAACTGCCAGAACTGGCCAGGAACAACAGCCAGGTGACGTGCTGTATGATGGGGTTTCAAGTTCGGCTACTGTGCGTGCTGTTAGCGACGATGGCTTTGCGCATCTGCTGGATCCTTCAGTCGTTGGACTCAGTATGCCTCCTTTATCTATTGGCGACATCCAAGACGTCGACCTGACGGCATTTCCTACTTCTTCGGCAATGCAAAACCACAGCAACGCTGTCCAAGGCGAGTCAGCCACGCCTTCAGCCACAGTAAGTGACTCAGCGATTCCGTCAGAGGCTTATCAGCTGTCAACAATCCAGCCAGCTCGTCAGGATACTGACAAGCGCAACGACACTATTATTGATGCAGTCGCTGGCACTGAAAGGCAGAGTAACGAAGACATTGCGGAGGAATCAAAGGAGGATGAAGAACAAATGGAAAGTGACCCAGGTGCAGTGGCGTTCCTCTCCGAACTAACATCTCGCGAAGGCAAGGCCATCTGCTCCAGCGATGATGCAGTGATGCCCACCGACCACGTGCCATGCACTGGTCTACGTGATGACAACGTGCAGGCCTATGTGTCTAATGCTGTCCAGGTAGTCGGAGGTAGTCGACCTCGGTATGTCATTGCTCGAGAGCTGTTCCCTCAGGTCTTCGGAAACGACAAGAAGGTTCGCATCGTCGACAAGCTCAATGAGGAACAGCGGCTAGTGCTACAAGATGCAGTGTTTAGCGAGTGTCTTTGGCGTGTGGATAAAGAAGGTCGCTGCGTTCGCAGTCTGCGTTGCAAGCGATTCGTGCCAGTCACCGACAACCAAAACCGTGGGAATACTCAGAGCCAAGGTGTATGCCGGGCCTGTCGTGACCTGCGCACTGTGCCGAACTTCCGCAGTGTGCTTAGTCGCTCGAAGATACCGAAGAAACTTGAGAACATTAAGTACGTGCCCAGTGTGTACACGGAGAGCGATCCTTTTCTGCGTAAACTATCCAAGAACTCGGCATTCCGCGGGCTTTACCAGACCGTCAAGCACATGGTTTCTACGAGATCTGGCAGCAATGGCGAGGTGGATGCGGAGCGAGTGAAGCAAGTGCATTTCTGGCTGCGCTTTGCTCGCATGGGAGTCTTTGGACACTTCAAGTCGCATCCAGTTTTCGAAGGACTTATGAAGAGTATGGTGGAGATGAAGGACAAGCAACGTCGTGGGGTTGGTAAGCAGAATATGCAGTACTCGAGAGCGCTGGATGAGTTCATGCAGAGCATGGCGCAGATATCCACCGAGGCGTTTGAACTCTTCGCTGGCCAGTTCTGTGGCCGCACGCTGCGCTCCCAGAAGGTCAAGCGGCGATCCACGAGCACAACGCTCGTTGTTCCAGCTCAGACGTCCATTGCAGCTGAGTCTGCACCAGTTGAGACGAACGGCGCTGTGGATCCTCCTCCGCATCAGCCACTGTCTTCTCCGACGCATCAACATTATCTCATGCCACCAGATGATCTGCTCGATGGACGGAGTTTATCTTCAGAGGAAAGTCAACGATTTATGGATCGCATGCTGGACGAGGTGCGACTGTCAGTGAGCCGTGAGATGTTCGAAGAAGAGCGTCGTCGCAGCGATGGGAACTCTGGGGATATGGAGCGGACCAACGATGAAGAGGACAGCAGTCGCTTGGGTCCTGATACATATCTGGATGATGACGGAGTTCTTACTACAGAAATTTAACGTTTGAATGTCGACATAATGCTGTTAACTTGTTTTAATAGCGCTGTTGAATATCCTCAAGCGAGATCTTGACTAACCAAGGTCACTACAATATTGGACTACCTTAAAAAAAGCAGTGCACTTTCACTTGACTATCTAGAGGACGGGCCGGTTTTGCAGATGAATATGAGGGAGCACTCATGATCGTGGATCGTCTCCATTATTACAGCTACTTTGCTTTAGATGATCGTCGTTAAAAAGTGTTGCTCTTTGCCTTTATTGCAGCGCGCACAGTAAAATTTACTTCTAAAGTATTCGGCTACGATGACGAGGGCCTTGGGTGTTTCAAGCTTCGGGGCCAAAACAAATTAAATCTGTTTTTTTTTAATTTTGACAAACTACGAAAAAAATAGCTCAAAGCTGAGAATCTTCTCAGTCGTGCTTCGATTACTCGTCTGCCTTCTCCAAGTGCTTGGAGACCAGTCCCATGACCTGCGTGAACTTGATTTCCTCAACTTTGAAAACGTTCATCATCTCTGCATTGGGGTGGATCATTCTTCCGTCTTTCGGGTCTTGCAGCTCATGTTTCTTCACGTAAGCCCAACTGTTACAACGGACTGGTGAGCTTCTACCTGTAGCCATGCAAATAGGGCTCGAGGCTGGAGTAACGCACAATTCTTTTATGGCGGCCGGGCGCGTGAGCTCGCTCTTCCCCAGCATGTTGCTCAGCGCAGGCGACAACCTGTAGAGCTGCTTGGTAGCCATGAGTTTTTGACGCTTTGGATCTTTGGAGAATTTGGATCTGATAACGGAATCCAACAACTAACAGCTATAGATAGTAAAGCACAAATTAGAATTTGTCAATTATCCGATTTTTTTTTACTGTTCTTCTTTAAAGTTTAGAATTGATCATTAAAAACAATTATTCTAGAATATACTACTTCAAAGTACAAGGTTCATCTCTTGTCAAGTTTTGCCATATTATAGCAGTGACAAAACGTGGACATCACCATCCGAAAGTTGGTGGTCAACTTTTCCTAGTAATGTGGAGCGCACAAAGCCACTTGAGATAACGAGAGTTGTGCCGAAAAACTGATTTTTGAAGCCACGCCGAGGACACGGTGCATCACCAGGCACGTCGAAGCGCTTCCACCTCTGACGCGGAATGTTGAGCACCCGAATCTCGTTCTTTAACTGGCCAGTTGACTCGTCTTGGCCTCCGAAAAGAAGCAGATTTGGGCCGATTGTGTTCGTACTGTGCCCTCGTCGTGCGCACGGCAGCGAGCCGAATAACTTTGGCTCTGACCACTCGATCGAGTATTGAGTATCACCCAAATCGTCAACTTCTCCGGTGACTTGCAACTTGTGCACATCTAGTAGACCATTTGACTGCCGAATCTGTCAATAACAAGTTTAGTGGAAATAAACTACTACAAATGAATGGGTACTTAAGCGCAGTAAAACTTACTTGACGTCCTCCATAGACGATCACTTCGCTTTCTGAGACGCTGTTTGATAATAAATAATAGCGCGTGAAAAATGAGTGATATTTCGGTCGTGACTTTCGTAGTGTTGCAATATTTGCACGCACCGATATACGTCGTGTAGTGACCGACCAGTTGGTGTACTGGGGGTGCACGGCGTTGACCAGCGATAATCTGACGATACAACCAAGTGAGCAATTACTCTTACACTCACTGTTTGCCGCACTCACCAGCGCAACCGCCTATATGCAGAAGAAATACGTCTATCGTTAAAATCGGAGATACCCCCATGCTACCACCAGTGATCAGTAATAAATCCGACGAAAGCAAGGTAGCAGTGTGTCCACATCGTGGCGAAGGTGCATTCCCCGTCACATTTAGGTCAACCCAGGCACTGCGCGCCTTCTTGGACGTATGCGCATCTATTTCTTCAACACAGAGCAGATAAAGATCACCGAAGGCCTCAAACGGGATCCCTTCTGACTGTCCGCCAAAGAAGATAATTCGTCGAACATTCACAAATTCCTCTTCTTCCTCCGCATTTGACTTTACTAAGAGTTCCCGAGCACACAATGCGTTCGGCATGCAAGTCATCGAGTGATTTCGTCGAGGACATGGCCCTTTGCCCACTGCTCGGATCTTCTCCCATTTATCCATCGTAATCTGTTGTGGAGACTGCAAAAATGGCAAGGAATCTGGTCGCTTGGGCTTCGTGTCAGCATCAACACTTTTCTTGCCGACTTCACCCAGCGTTACATCGGAAATTGTGGCTTGCAATACACTGAACCAGTAGTGGCCTCCACTCCGAAGCAAGAAAGTGGCGCTCATGTCGGTCTCGTACTCCTGATTGTCGGATTTTAATGCCCGTAGTGATGACGATGTCCCTTCACTTCTATACGCCTCCCATCTCAGCTCCTTGAGGCTAAAGGCTGCATATAATTCTCTCCAAGTGGTTGGAACTGCTGCTTGCATGCGGTAGGACGCCACTGTCGGATATAGATACGTGGTGAAGCACTCACGCTTACATCGCGCCTCAATGAGAACCTGTAGCGTCTTCAGCAGCGAGTGACACGTAGTAGAGAGCAGTACCAATGATTCCACGTCTAACGCGCGCTCCAACACCTCCAGAATCTCCTCCGAGAGCTCGACAAGCCACGACGAAGTCATAACGCTTGAGCAGCTATTTTGCGTAAAAATTGTGTAAAGAATTTGTTGATAAGCATGCGACAATTTGTTTTTTTTGGTGCTCTTAGTTAGAATGCCTTCTTGGGTGTTTTTTCGGGAGACTCTGACGATCTGACTCCTACATCCTCGTTTCCTCGACAGGTTATGAAGTGCTTTTTAGCAGCAACCTCGGCTAGCAGGAGGGTTCGAGTTGCCGAAGCCGCCGGGCCCAGGTGAGCCCGTCATGCCCACCTTGATGCCATGTGCCTGCAACATAATTCGTAACACGTTAGATACTTTTGTTAAGTTCTTACAACTTAGACAAAAATCGTGCTCTCACCTCGTTGGTGACGTCACAAACGCCCGACTGGATGTTCGAATAGATCTTCGATGCCGTCTTGACGAAGGCCTACATGCAATGACACATCAATCAGCCTCAAACTCGTTTCTGTTCTGCAAGCAACTGGCACTTACGTCTTCCACATTGGCAGCAGTCTTGGCTGACGTCTCGAGGAAGATGAGGCCATTCTCTTTAGCAAATTGTTCTCCTTCCTTGAAACTCACAGCGCGACGGTGCTCCAAGTCGCTCTTGTTGCCGATCAGCATGATAGCCATGTTCGAATTGGAGTTCTGCCGGGCCTCCTCTAGCCATCTCGTCAGATGGTTAAACGTCTCTCGGCGGGTGATGTCATACACCAGCAGCGCGCCGGCAGCTCCACGATAGTACGAGCGCGTAATGGAGCGGAACGACTCTTGTCCGGCCTAATAAACCAGCATTAAAACCAAGCAACTATCGCAAGAGTAGCAGAAAACCTGTACCGTATCCCAGATCTGAAGCTTAATCTGCTTGTTCTCGATGTTGATCATGCGTGCGCCGAACTCGACGCCGATCGTGAGGTCATGAACGGGCTGGAAGCGCTTGTCCGTGAACTGTAGCAACAGACACGACTTACCGACGCCTGATACACGTCGCCAAAAGGTTAGTGAGTGGATCTCTACGAGCAATCCAGATCCATTGGAGCTATAGCGGCGTACCAGTGTCGCCGATGATGATGTACTTGAACAGGTACGCGTATGACATGATTCAGTAGCTGGATTAAGGGCCATTATATAAAATAAAAAACAAATTTGTAAGGAAAAATGATATGGTAAACGTGAAGCTCTTCTTCTGCAGCTTGTACGCGTCAGTGGAGCGTGCACTCGAAGGGAGAAGGAAGGCTATTGAGTGCTGCATGCACGTACCTAGACGGTGTTCTGTGGGAAGATGTGTAGGTGGCGCTGGGAGGTGGTGAAGGGACGACGGTGTAGCTCTCGGCTTTCTTGTATTTTTGGCTTTGCGAAAAGAAAGGGAAGAAAAGAACCCACAAATGGAAAAATGACTTGGATTTTTAAGATCCGCAGTACCGTGTGGACTCTTATACAGAATACCCCCTATGAGTGGTGTTGAAGTGCGCGACTTGCGGACTTGTTGGCGATTTTCGACTGTGAGTTACCACTAGTAATACCAGTGGTATGCTTTATGAGGATCGATTCGACCGCTGTCGATTCATGCTTAATCTGCGAGGCATTCTCGTCGGAGCTAGCGATAACTAAAGAAACTTTGCCATGGAACGCAAGGTTTGTGGCGTAGATTTAAGGACTATCGACGCTTTTTTTTTCAGCACATTGGCGGGAGCTGATACCAAGGTATGTCTCAGTGCGACTGAGTACTACAGTAATACTTAGTGACTCACTAATAGTGAGTATGGAGAGCATTGGTGCTAGGCTAGCACTACAACATGCAACAAGTTCACAAACAAATCCGCATGATTTGTGTCTGCCACATCGAATCTTTTTCCATGCATTTTTCTGGCTAAACGCCGCGCAATTGTTAGCATCGAGGCGTGTGTTGTTGCCATGGAGAACTACAACATCTACGACGAGATCGGACTTGGCACGAACTCGTTTGTGTACAAGGCGCGGCGAAAGCGCAGTATTGAGTACGTGGCCGTCAAGTCTACAGCCAAAAGCCGCATGGACAAGGTAACATTGACAAAAGGCAACAACTAAAACCCAAACGGCAAAAAGCACTAACCCTCTGAATGTAGATCCTAAACGAGGTGCCGTTCCTGCACAAGCTCGAGAGTCCCTATGTACTCAAGTTCTTCGACTGGTACGAGTCCTCCAACCACATCTGGCTCATCCTTGAGTACTGTATGGGCGGCGATTTGCTCAACCTCATCACACAGGACAAACACCTCCCCGAGTCTGCAGTGCAGGTGCAACACGCACAGCTAAAGCTGGCTGGCTGCTTGCGATAACTAACTGGGTGGGATAACATATTGCAGTCGTTTGGGCTCGAACTTGTCGCCGGACTGCATTATTTGCACTCCAACAGCATTTTATACTGCGACCTGAAGCCTGCAAACATCCTCATCGACGAATTTGGGTCGCTCAAGGTGCGCGATTGTGATGGTGATGCCAATAAAGGCAGAATCTAATTTATGTACTGTGTATAGCTGTCGGATTTTGGTCTGGCACGTCGCATTCCTGGGAGCGACGCAACACCCGCACGGCCAGTAAGAAATATTTAGTTTTCGCGTGACTAAACCACTGATTGACGTCAAGTGACTGTACGTAGCTGGCTCCAGGATCGCCACATTATATGGCGCCTGAATTGTTCCAGCAGCCTGCAGTGCATAGCTTTGCGTCGGACTTTTGGGCATTGGTACGATCGACCGTCGTTGTTTAGTATTTAGAAATGAGTGAATTGACCATTGTTGAGACGCTAGGGCTGTGTACTGTACGAACTGAGAACTGGCCACCAGCCATTTACACATACTAACTTCTCAGAGCTAGCACGAATGGTACGAGCAGAAATATTAGTTTTGCTGCTTGTCGTACACTTAAGCTTAACTTCTGTGCACTCGCGATAGATTCAATCGGAAGTCGTGGAGCTCCCAGTCCTTGGATGTGTAATGTCGCCTGCATTTTGTGACCTAGTAAAGCGGTTGCTAGTTAAAGATCCTTATCGGCGGATCACCTGGTGCGTGTTACCTACCGAGGTTTATTCGCTTTTTTCTGACGCGATGTTACAACTAGGGATGAGCTGGTGGACCATCCGTTTTGGGGCAGTCTGCCTCGCATCGACAAAGTGGCAATGCCTCCACAGGAGATATTCGACAGGAATGCGCCAGTGTCGCTGAGGTACGTCCCTTATTCGAGGTGTAACTGTACAAACTGGTCGTCACTTTTGAAGCTTGTTTTGTACAGTGAACAGGCTGCCAGCAATGAAGCTCCAAAAGATCCTGAAGACAATTCTGGAGACATTAAGTCCAACTTCAACAATGACGAACACCAAGAAAATGGGGATAACGATGATAATAATGTGGCTCATAAGGATCAGCAGCCACTTGGAAATGGACTCGAAGCAGCAAGAGCAGAAAATAGCTGTGGTGACGAAGGTAACTTTTCGGATTCTGGAGATTCAGAGACGGACGAGGCAATTAACGGAGCTACCACGGACCACGGCGAGCTACGACCTGTCAGCGCGCCGAATTCTCGAAAACTCACTCTACCAGACAGCAACGAAGATTTGAACGATGACCAAAATGGTATTTTGAACGAAGTCAGTCAACTGGTTGCCATCCGACAGCACTGGAGAGCTGCTCGTGCGCCTCATTCTGCACCTCCTGCTATCCGGAATGTCCCAAACAAGCGAATGTCAATAAACAACCTGTTCGATCGAAGTGGCGTACCAGGTAGTGGACTTCGCAAGGTTTCCAAGCTTGTGTTTACAGCTGCAGACTGCCGTGTGAAGTCTATCATAGGGAACAAAGACATAAAGATCGAAGACTTACCGCACGTTCGTGAAGATCTTCTCCGCTTCGCCCTTACAACGCCGGACGATCTGCTATCGTGCCCAGCAGAGGGTTTGGAGGGCCAGCTGAAAGAAATCTACATCAGTCTGAAGTCTTCTCACGCCGACGATGAGGCGAGACTTAGTGTCATGGCGTATTTATTCTCTCTAAGCTGCCACGCCCGACTGGCTCACGTGATCGTGAACAGCTCTATTCTCAAGCTTCTGATTCGAATGCTGTCCCATGAAGCCCGGCTGTCGACTCCGAACAAGACATTCATATCGATGTCGTGTCTTGTGCTGGGCGTTCTTTTCCGCTTTGCAACGTTTATTGCGCCGTCGTCGCCCGATCAATTACAGCTACTTGTCAAGTCGCTTCTGGAAGTCATAGCCGCTCCTGATGGTCTTGACGATAAGAAACACACCGACGCGAAAGGGTTACAGCCTCGCCCGCTAGCACTCGCGTGTCTTGGAGAATTACTTTTCTACATATCAACTCAGCACGAGTGGGAATTACCCATGGAAGGCGTGGAAACCGTACTGGGGTGCATTGGGGATGCTGACTTGACACTCCGCTTTTACGCGGTGCGGACGCTGGGTAACATGCTGATACAGTGCACAGATTCTCTGCTATCTCGGCTGATAAGCGAGAAAATTGTGCTGACTTTAATGCGTGGGCTACTGCAGTACGCGAACCCAATGTCAAGCGACGAAAATGGAGATAAACAAACAATTATCTCGCTGCAAACAGCGACAACCGAAGCGCTTGCCCACGTTTTGAGGCACCTTCGTGTTCCGTCTTCGGCTGCAAGCCTCTCGTCAAGATTACAGCGATCGATCATGCTGTTTTTCGCCAAACCGGATATCCTCAATGCGGTGTGGCGAGGCGTGGAGCGGGTGCAAGCTTCTGCTGAACTAGCGATCGCTTCGTTGAACATTATTAACGCTTTCTTGGATATGAAGCTCGGCACGGAAAGAGAAGCGGAAGCTGCTGCGATCAGATCCAGTCGAACGTTGCTCCTGGAACGTGTGATAGCGTTTCCAATCATTTGTAAAGTTCTGGAGATCGATAGGAGTACTGGAGGGGAAGATGCTGATGGCGATAACGTCGCTACGTTGCGAGCGAAAGGCTTGATAATGATCCACTTGGGTGTGCAGTTGAATCGGAGCTTTTTGCTCGCGTTTGTCCAGTATAACTCGCTAGATATCGTGGAGAAAGTGATTGGTCCGATCGCAGAGCAGCTCGGTGAGGACGAAGCCGGTCCTGGCTCGGTTTCGCCGGAAAAGAAGCTCTCGGCGTTTGAGCTGTATCTCGCGCAGTGTGCCTTGAACGTGTGCAAGCTGTCGATTCGAATGGCTCTGAAACTTGGAGCTATTTGCTTCTCCTCGTACGAGAATGGCGACGAGGAAGTAGCAAGTAGCAACAATGAAGAGCATCGATCCCCTAGGATATCTCCAATCCCGTTCCAGCTTTTTGACGGACTGCTGCAGAACCCAAACTGTCGACAGCAGCTGTTAAACTATTTCGTGGCAAACGACAGCAAGCAGTTTACGTTCTTCCTGCGGCTGATGACCAAGTTACTGACGTCGTTTCATGACGAGGCTTTGGTCGTACCAGGAGACACTGAGAAGACGACGACTATAGCGCGATATGTGTCTGATATTTTGCTGGCATTGTTTGGGTTTGCAGGCAAGGAGAGCAATGACATCGTCTTGGTGGAGAAGCAAATGCTGTTCACTCATTTGCTGCCTGCAATAGTGAAGCATGTTAGTGGAGAATCGGGGGATGTCGCGGTGAATTGCCTTCGCATTCTTCACGCTGTGTTGCTGGATTTCGATTATGACGATGACAGTGGCGACTACGAGTTTTACGATCCTTTCGTTCGATCGATACTTCTTCCTTACTTGAACACATTGTTCAGGAGTCCGATGGCTTTGATCGAAAACACTTGGAGCTTGTCGAGTGAACTTCTGTTTGGGTTACTGTCCAGCGACTCGTCTCTTCTTGCGGAGGCAGAAGATTTGAAGCTGGTTCCCACTATTACGAGCTTGTTGCAAGTACCAGTCGAGTTCCAGTCTCTGCCTTCGCATGCTACGCAACTCGTTCAACTGCTTGTGGATTCTCCTGATGTACACTCGGAGTTACTGTACCAGTCAGGCATTGCGAGGAGTGTTGCTGCTGGCTTGACATTCTCTTGGAAACGCAAAGTGGTGGATGGAAATCTGCTGGACCTGTTTCTAATTCTGCTGAACTTGCTCCATCAGCAATTCGAAGCGATGCGGCTACCAGGATTAACGTCAACTCCAACGGGTTTTGATGAGTTGGTGAATTGTGGACCGTTGCTGCTTCAGTTCTGCGCTTGGAGCAGCGTTGGTCAAAAGATAAACGGAGAGTCCGAATACGTACCACCAGAGAACGATCCTGATGAAAAGAGTCGAACGAGTATTGAACTCGTGGATTTAGCCTCACAGTGCCTCGTCTTCCTGTCTCAGGTGAGTGTTGAAGTGCCGATATTGCGAACGTACCTGGCAGTCTAACACCTTACGTTGGCTTGCACAGATTTTCGGCGATCGGCTAAATAGCGTCTTGTTTTTAGATAACAAGAGCGTTACGTCCGACACTAACGAGTCTGCATTCAGGTACGTGTCAAAGAAATTCCTCACTATAACTTGATTGTGGTATCAGCTTCTGACGCGCTCATGTCCATGACACAGCTCGCTCTCCAAGTGCCTGCGAAGCAACCTGGATGCGATTGCTCTGCTACGCGTGCTACTTACACTGAAAAATTGTCTGCGTTGCGAAACCAAAACTCACCAAGTGAGTCACTGGCTTGTTGGAAACGGTAGTGTTCTCAGTACAGTGGAGGCCTTGGCATCACAGAGTGCACAGTTCGATGACACTCAAAGTGAAGATGAGAAGCAGCCAGCAATAGGAGACCAGATTTCCAAGACAGCAACAGCTATCATGCGACTGTGTCATGCTTCATACTCACGATGATATTTAGGTGGGGAAGAGAGCTACTCGAACTGGAATAAGGTAGTTCGTATTACGGAATTCTTCTAAGATGGGACCTCATTATGCAACCAAAATGCTGCGATGTCTACGGTTTGGAAGCTGGCTACGCGTAGTGTTGCTTTGATTCTTCCCACTCATGGTTGGGATAAATCTGAAGGTCCAAGCGCTCGGCAACCTCGTTGAGTTTCGAGCTGTCGCCCTCAAACAGGCCCTTGAACACGACGTTCACAATGTGCTCATAGCGCTCCTGAAGCAGTTTAATCTCGCGAGGGGTATCAGGCACAACGCGCTCCACCAAAACGGCCAAGACCAAACACACCTGACACGCCACCACGAAGCTAAAGGCCCGAACTGTTCCCGTCTGATCTTCAAATAAGTCGGACGTCCACAGAATGAGCGCAGAGTTTGTACCGAGAGCAATGTACGTCATGAAGCGGAGAATGTAAAACCACACGCCAATATCTTTAGCCGGGTGTGGGAACGGGCGACGATGCACGAAGCAGAGTTTCACGGCATCAACATGAACTTCAAGCACGTTGTTGGCCAGTGCAAGCAGAGGCGTCAACGGGAACGCCACGACGAACAAGTTGATAAAGCCGTACTGGATGACCATCTCGTTGTAGTCCTCGAACGCCTCGTTGCTCTCGTACGGCACAAGCTTCGCCTGCTCTTCGATGTAGTTGTGGCCAGTCTTCTCCTCCGTGTTCGCCGCTTTGCGCTCAGCAAAGAGCTGGTAGCGGTATTTCAAGTACGGCACAGCCACTTCCGTCGTGTTGCCCACCACAATGCGGATAATAAACAGAGTGAGCAGCTGGTCGCGCAGTTCCTGCATGCAGTCGTCTTCGTACAGACACGAGCCCTCGGCAGCACGCTTGACGAACGCGATATAAAAGAACGACGCGAACGAGTTGCAGAACTGGAAGAGGAAAACCTTGATGACCAGGTAGTTCTCGTACTCGGCGTCCGTGCGGTGGTTTTCGAACTCATTCAGCTTACGTGCCACATTGCGGTAGACTGTGTTGAGCACTAGAATCTGGATGGCGTTAATCACAGTCACACCGAACGTCAACGGCGTCTGGTACTTGGCGCTGATGTTGTTGTGCTCCAAGTTGTCGCTGTCATTGATCCAGTGTTTCAAGACGAAGAGACCAAAGAGAGCCACGATGACGATGCCAACCATAAGCGTCACGACTAAGACGGACACGATGAAGGCGCGTCGCCGCTTCGCCTTGCTTTCGAACGTTACTTCCTCGGCATCAGTAACCGGGTGGTAGCTTTTGGTACCGCGGAATTGAGGGCGATAGCGGAATGACTCTTGTAACCCACTCAGACCCCAGAGCGAATCCAGCAGACCATTTTTACGCTTCCACAGCTCCGAAAACAAAGACGACCATAGCACCACAAACACAGCGAAGGCGATGAGAATGTATCCTTGCTGGTTGGTGCCCGTGACCGCTTGACGCGCTTCGATGTACACGAACGTGATGATCCCCGCGACCGCCGGGAAGACGAGCATCTTGGTGTAGAACTCGAGCCAAGCGAAATACAGCGCAATCTTCTCTCCGAAATAATAGCGGATCTTGTGCAAAGGTTGGTACAACATGGTCCAGTGCAGAGCCCACGAGTGACGCAGATCATGCAGCGCCTTGGCGTCGTGGAGAGCAAACATTTGGCCCTGCAAATACCCGGCCGCTTCCAGTGCGTCGGCGTTAATATGACGTTCGACGATGCCCTCCGCGAGACGTATGCGATCCTTTTGCGAGAATAACGTCTCCTCTTTCTTCTGTTCCCACTTGATGGGATAACGTCGGTAGAAAGGCTGAAACTTCTCCTCATGACGATACTCTGCGAACGGAGCAAAGTACGTCAGCGGATCGTAAGGTAGAGCGAAGATCGACGTCACGAAGCGGTCCCAATGACTTCCCTGGACGCGACGATAAGTGTCATCTTCGACAAATAAACCGTCCGCCTCTTCAGTATGTCCCCAGATATCGAGAGCCTTGCGTAGCTCCGGATGGAACTCTTCTCCACGCGAGACTAGCAACGGATCCATCTCCGGGTACTCGGCGTCTTCGTTAACACAGCCACGTGTATGTCTTAGGTGGTCAATGGAGTTCTGCCATTCTTTATCCCCCATCTCACGTTGCAAAGTCTTGAGCTTCTTCTCGTGCAGTGTCTTGTCAAAAGGTTTGTTACTGACCTGCAGTCTGTAGTTGGTACGATCGGCCTCGACTCTCAGGTCGTCGTTGTCTGCCTTGATAGTCATAATGATCTCATCGGCGTCGCAGCTTAGAAACATACGCGTGGTGAGGCCGCATGCGAGCTGCACGCGGCGGGCGATGGCGGTGGCCACGAGCTCGCAGAACTGCGCCTCAGTCGTGGCCTCAGTGGTGCCGATATACTGTTCATATTCGCTCTTGAGCAGCTGCTGCTGCGTTTCAAGACGACGTTGTTCACTCTCCTCGCTGTGGTCGTTGCTCGAATCCATGACCACGTCGCAGCCGCGTTCGTCCAGGAAGCAGCGTGGTGTGCGCAACACGCGCTGGAAAGGGTCCACCACGATCTTGTCAGCGCGCTGACTGCGATCCGGGTCCTTGCCCATCATGAGGTGTACAAAGCTGTTTAAAGTGAAGTCGTCGGGCTTCTTGAGCTCGCCGCCCTCGCGCCTCGGGAAGACCATGACCAAGTCGTGGTCGTACAGCGTTTTGTCACTGCTGGTGGAGTGTAGCACAAACGACTGCGCACTCTGCATGGAGCTGAACTCCATATCCACGGCGGAGTGCGCAGTCGCAGGCGATGTGAAGGCATCATACGCGTCGGCTAAGGACGGCATGGCGAGAGTGACGGTCTTACGCACCACCCTGCAAATCCGAAAGTGGACGTTGCGGTGCCGGTTTTTCGATTCTACAACTGCGACTGCGAAAAAGGTGCATGCGCTCATGCCGTTGGCAACAACGGGTGACTCATGTAGTGAAATGGCTGATAGATGCCAATGCATGCCGACCCACGGCCGCGTGGGAGAAGGATGGAATTCGTCGACAGACGTGATGGAAGGGGTCCGCATCGAATTGGTCAAGGTGAACGATTAACTCAAGGATGAGCACAGTACAACGATCTGACTACGATGTGACACAGGGCTCACGCCCAACTTCGCCGGTCCGGGGCCGCCTCGGAGGCACGTTGTCGCTGCTCCGTAATTGTCGGCAGAATTCCGACTGGTAGTAGCAGCAACTTCGAGGCGTAGGCGACATCTCTCACGCAAAACGTTATAGAGTTTGTTTTTAAATAAAAATCCAAGAGCAATAGTATTCTGGTATTATATTTAAAACAAATGTATTAGAATTAAAAACATGTACCAAAGGTAATCTAATACTTCAGCTTTCTGAATTACAGTAATACAGTACATTAAATAGCGAAAATGCAGCCTATTATCCGGCATATGTTTTCTTCCATTCTATTTACTTATTGTATCCCTTATTACCGGTTCCTGACATATAATAGTTCTGACCTCAACACTTGTGTTCAGTATTAAAGCACTTCATGAGCCGTTAGGGGGAGCACAACGATATAGACGCCACGTACGAGGAGTGCGGGTACCATGATGGCGGCGTCCCCGGGATTCACAGGCGGGCCAACAGGTCGCTCCGAAAGCCCCACAAGCTTCCCGCCCTCTCAGGAGGCGAATACCAGCTCAAACGCTGCTGCAGACGATGAGTTCGGCTCCTTCGCAGCGGCAGAGCGAATTTCGGACCCATTTGGCGACGTGTACGGGGCCGAGGCGGACTTTGGGGATTTTGTGGGGCAAGAACAGAGTGACGGTCCCTCTGCGCCTGCTGAGAGCTCCTCGCTAATGTCGTTCTCGCCGCTGATGGCCCCGGCGTCGACCACAGCGCCGCCAACGCTGTTGCCATCTATCAGCGGCGAAGTCGACCCGTTTGCGGATATTACAGGAGGCCTAGGAGCCGTAACAGATTCATCAGAGGTCGCAAGTCTTAAGATGGAGACTGTAGAGAACTGTATGAGCCAAACGACAGCAACAACAACCGGTGCTGCAGCCCCGACTTCTACAACGTCGGCAACGTCAGCGATCTTAGACTTGGTATGGGGCAATTCGACACAGGACACCGAGATCAACCCACTATCGATGTCGTCAACGTCAGTAGGCAGCGGATCGGGCAATATTAGCAGGACAGCGTCGTCTCCGAGTGGGTTTACGCTGCCCCCTCCACCTTCGACGAAGTTTGCGACGTTCCCATCAACTTCTGCAGCTGCTCCTCCGGAAGCTTCAGTAGGAGACTTGCTGTCGTTCTCTCCGGTCCAGACGTCGACTCCGAGCGACCCTTTCTTTGGAATTAACGGCGAGACAAGTGAGAATAGTGTGGCGTTCGGCAATGATGAGCTCTTCACGTTGACAGCGATCCCACCGCTCTCGACGACGTCTTCTTCAGCCCCGACGTCGCTGCGTGGGTCATTCGCTTCAATGCACGAGGAGATGAAGCCGCCAGTGCAGTCTCCTTGCACTCCTGGATCGGTGGAGGGTACAGCGTCGCCGCGTGATCCATTTACTGAGCGCACAACGCGATCTTTCGGCTCGTTGAGCTCTTCGTTCGTGAGTGTTGGGGCAATCGAGGACTCTGCTAAGAAACACGCATCGTTCAGTGCAGTTACGTCGGCTACACAAGCAACAAGTGTGGCTCCGTCCCCTTCGTCCGCTCCACCTTCGTTGCGCAGCTCTTTTACGATGACTGAAGGGCTCGTGGGATTTGCGTCTGCTACTGAAGAGGCTGAGGAAGTGGACCCGTTCGCGGAGGCAGGACTAGCAGCTCCAGAGGAGGTGCCGCTGGCAGAGGCTCTTGCAGCATGGAATACGACTGGTGAACCGACAGTGCCAACGCAGAAGGAAGAGAACAGTCAAGAAGACAAAGAAGAGATGGACGCTGGAAACAAGGACGAAGAAGATCAGAGTGGCTTACGCGATGGTACTGGTTCTACAGTTGGACCAGGTGGTATTTCGACCACCGTTAACCAACAAGCAGAGGAGGGATTGCAGGATGACTGGCTACAGACTGGCGCCACTTCAGATCACAGTAACGAGAAAGGAGTCGACAATGTGTCGTCACAGCAGCAGGACGCGGTTGATGCGGCTATTGAGTTTGAGAGGTCAACTATCACGACGTTTATGGAGTCGGAAGAATTGGCTGCCGCTACAGACGACGTGGCTACCCTGATAACTGGTGAAAAGGATGATGAAGCCCGTGCTGAGGACTCACCAGTCAATTTGTTCGACTGCGAGAGCGACGATGGCGCCACTCCAGTGTCTAGTGACGAGGTCGAGTGGCCAGCTGTGCAGCAGTCAACGACAGAAGAGAAAGCAGATTCTCTCGAGACGGGTCCCTCGCACCTGGTTGCGTTCGTCTCACCAACAACAGACGTGGATTTTGAAGGCGCAGTCTTCGGATCAGGCAGTGGCGTCTCAGATGAGTCGTCGTCTCACCACGATTCTTCGCCGTCTACGTCGCCTCCAGAGTTTCCTACTTGTTCTGACAATTTCAACGAGAATGTAGTGCCTGAAACACTCAAGGAAGAAACCCAAGATACGTTGGCTGATGAAGACGAAGGGGATGACTTTGGTGGCTTCAAAGCAGCTGCGCCTACGACAAACGTTGCGATCATTCCTGACGCGTCTCCATGGGGCACGTTCCCATCGCCAACTCCAGTTCAGAACATGGTGCTTGAGGAAGACGAGGACGATTCTTTTGGAGACTTTGCTGGCAACTCCACTCCTGCGGGTGCTGTTCCAGACGACTTTGCGGACTTTGCACAGAGCTCAGAGGCTCAAGATGACGATGCGTTTGGTGACTTTGGTGACTTTACGCAGAGCTCTGACGACAAAACGTTTGGTGAGGACGATGACGGTTTTGGCGATTTCGCTCCCGCTGTGGCCCCGTCTCCTGTGGAAGCAACTCCCTTGGTCTTGTCTGTTCCTTCGTTCTCCAAGACGGACTTGTCGTCGTTCTTCCAGGAGGCATTCGCAACAGAACCTGTACCGACAAGCGCTGTGGAGGAGCCCGATAGTCCACCCGGTGTGAATGATGTGGATGCTGCGCTAGATTCGTCTACTGAATTTGTCGAGGGCGCATTTCGTAATATGTGGGACGCGTACATCTCCATCGTGTCGGCCACGGGTCACCAGTCTTCGTCCTCGTCTGCCGTTACTCCAGAGCCGACTGATAGTGGGGAGCGTGTGTGTTTGGGCAGGAAGACAACGCGTGCGTCCAAATATTTAAAGTATGTGCTGTCTGAGAAGATCCAGGAAGCTTCTCGACAGAACGGCATCTTCTCTCATGGCTCTGAAAAACATCAAATGTACATCGGGTGTGCTGCCTCTGGTGACGCTGATCGCATGCGTGATGCTCTGAAGGAGTTGCAAGACGCACTGTTCCACAGCTCAGTGAACGACGCCATGATGCGGATAGCCAAGCAGGCGGCGCTGTCTGCCAAAGCCAAGATTGCCGAGCAAGCTGCTCAGCAACAGGCAAGCTCGCGTGGTGGGTCCTTATTTTCCACGACGCGTCACCTGCTTTCCCGTGGAGGTGCGACAGGAGCGCATGGACCAAGCAGCAATGACAGTAAAAGTGACCACGCAGGTGCTGATACTCCTACCGGTGCGTCGGTCCAGAAACTCGCTCGATTCTCGTTTACTAGCAGCAATGATGACACTGCAACTCGTGGTATTGCAGAGGAGAGAGGGTCGGAAGGAAGCGATCACACAGGACACAGCAGCGGGAGCGACTCGGAAGCAGCAGGAGACAGTCGGACTCGTAGCCAAACGCTGTCAAATAGCAGCAACGGCGGACTGATGAAGAAGTTTCTTTCGTTCGGAAGCTCAAGGCACCGGCCGCGATTTGTTAACCTCCGACGAAAGGGCCAATCTGGTGAGGAAGTGCGGAAGATGGAGCTGAATCTGGACTCCATCAGCGGAGGTCTGGACGAAGTCAAGTGGAAGTGTGCCGTGTTCCTGTACGATGTGGAAGAGGTGGCGCATGTGGCGCCGTCGCAGATTAGTATCTTGTCGTACCCAAGCAAGCAGCCACTGACGGGCAAGACCGACCGCAGTGCGTTGACGAAGCTGGTGAAAGCGGACACTATTTGGACAGTAGATATTGGCGCCAACCACAGCGACATGTTGAACGAGTGGTGAGGCCACAACGAATGAACCAACCCGAGCTTTAAAAGTGACAAAAAATGCACAAAAGGGAAGTCAATGTTACCACTTCACACACTTGTTGAAAGTTGTGCTCTCCAAATGGCTTTAATCGAGGCAGCATCAAATGCCATGGCGTCCAATGCAGCACTTTGACCGCTAAAATTAATTGCGTATCATCCCAGGTGGGTATGTACATTTTCGGCTCGTGCGTGTACTTAGTTGTGGGCATAAAGGCCCATCCGGCTGTCATTGAACGACAGCGAACTATTTTTGATCCATAACTTGAGACCATGCTCGCCTTCCCGGATAAATGAGGGCCACGCACGGTCTTCGTTCATTCCTCAAAACCGGCCAAGAACAAGTGACCCGCATCAGTATTTTCATGATGAATGAGGATGTCGGTGGTGCAGACAGTTCCGACCATCCGGTGAATGAACACTCAATCCAAGTTGAAATCTCGCCGAGGAACAAACCTGCATCGATTTTCCACAGGTTCGGCGCTGTGTCGGACGCGTATGAAAACACCATGTTCGAGAACGACTTGGTCGTCATTTTCCCGCTACGTGGAGGCGGCGAGGTCAAGAGACCCGAGGCGTTTTCCATGCAAGCGTTTGTCACTTTGCTGCTGGGAAGCGACTCACAGCACAGCCATCACCCTTTCCAGCGTGTGCTCCGAACCCCACGATGTTTCCTGGATGAGCACGGAAATGACCTGGTGGAAGCCAACAAAAGTGACGCCGCAGAGTTCAACAGGTTCGAGGTTGAGCAACAAACACTTGAAGCTGAGTACGAACAGTTTGTAGGCTCCACCGAGGCTACAACCGAACGTCGTTTCTGTGAACTGGTGGCCACGGCCATCTCACGCCGCGTGCAGCTCGCTTGTGGTCTCACGACGCGGATGTTCCTCAGTTGTGACGGAGACGAAATCATCATGTCGGTGAAGTCGGAGAATGACGATCTGCGTGTAGAGGCTGATCGCACCAACTACCGACTGCAACTAAGCAACAAGCCGTTCGACGCGATGCTCCACCGAGACAAAATCTCGGATTTGAAGCGAGAGATTGACGCTGATGCTTGGCAAAAATCCCTGGATCTACTTCGAATCAAACGCGGTATTTCCAATGACACGTCCGACGTGCCAGAGCTGGATCCGCTTCTTATCTCGCGCGGCGATGAGTTCCATCCGTTAACCCGTAAAGCTCTTCGTCGTTGGGGCCACAGAGAAGAAGCTGACGGTATGTTCTCGGACGAAGACAACCACAGTCAGCCGGCGTGGAATCGCTTCTGGACGTCGCTCTTCTCGATACACCACGACCCCACGACGTACTTTGCTCCATTCGCCGATTATCGTCACGAGCCCGAGTTTCAGCCGTATTTCCGTCGCTATCCGATAAATTGGGGCGGCAAGAAAGAGCAAACGCTGTTTACTCAGAAAGATCGCATTCGTCTCGCGTCGGGTATCGTGGATCGACATCTTAACTTGGATGCGCTTCAGGATGCCGGGTATCTGAAGAACCAAATGTTTGCACTCCACGACGAAGCTGCGCTGGATGAGTTACGAGCGACGTGGGCTCTGAACGTCAAGATGCTGTACCAACCTCTTCATAAAATCCGCTTTTACTTCGGAGAGAAGATCGCGCTCTACTTCGCGTGGCTCGAGTTTTACACAAAGATGCTGCTCTTTCCATCCATCGCGGGCATCGTCACGATCATCTACGAAGAAGAGCGAGACGAAGAGGGGAACGACAATAACCGAGGCTACTTCTTGGTCGCCTTCGCTATCTTCGTGGTCATTTGGTCGTCAATGTTCTCCGAGTTCTGGAAGCGAAAGAATGGTCTCCTTGGGTCACTATGGGGCTGTCGAGGGTACAACGAAGCCTTTCACTACCGCCCTCAATTCCAGGGAATCAAGAGCCACAACCCAGTCACCGACACGGAGGAACTGACGTACGAGAGCCGAGCAAGGCGACACCGTTGGTTCGTTGTGTCCATCACTGTCGTAGCGTTCATGGTCGGGATTGTCATCGTGGCGCTGGTGGGGCTGTTCGTGTTGAAACACTTCATCAACGACGGCGACAACCTCCGGAACATCGACGTCAAGTTCCGAACTCCACTCACACTGGCTGTGACTATCGGGAACGCTGTCCAGATCTTGATTCTCAACATGGTCTACAGACTCGTCGCTCGGAAGCTCAACGATCTGGAGAACCACCGCACGGATGCAGAGTACGAAAACTACCTGGCGATCAAGGTGTTCCTCTTCCAGTTTTGCAACTCGTTCGCTTCGTTCTTCTACATCGCGTTCATCAAGCGAGAGGTGGAAGCTTCCTGTCTGTACGGCGATGACTGCATGAAAGAGCTGCGTGATCAGCTGTTGGTTCTGTTCCTGGTTCGCATCGTGGTGGGCAATACAACAGAAGTAGCGATCCCGTACCTCAAGTATCGCTACCAGCTCTATGCTGAAGCCAGGGAGCAAGAAGACGACAAGAAGAAAGCTGGACACAACTTGATCGAAGCTCAAGCGAAGCTCGCGCCGTATGAAAGCAACGAAGCGTTTGAAGACTACAACGAACTGGCCATCCAGTTCGGCTTCCACAACTTGTTCGTCGTGGCCTTCCCACTGACGCCTCTGCTAGCGCTGGTGAATAACATTGTGGAAGTGCATGTGGACGCATCCAAGCTCTGCTTCGGCTGTCGTCGACCGTTTCCGGAGCCTGCCAAGAGCATCGGCGTCTGGTTTTACATCTTCCGGTCCATGACGTACATCACCGTAGGAACGAACGCGGCGCTTATCTTGTGGACGTCAGACTTGTTCGAGAACTACAGCGGAACTGTGAAAGCTTTCAGCTTCGTCGTCGTCTGTCAGGTCGGTTTGGCGATCTCGCTATTCATCGAGCGCACGGTGCCAGATATGCCAAACCACCTCGGTCTGCTGCTGGAACGGTATGATCACATTGTAAACGTCGTGTTCAAGAATCTCTCCGAGGGTGATGTTTCGCACCTCAACGAGGTGTCGGAGAAGTTGGATTTGATGATCTACCCCAATGATCAGTGGGAAGACAAGACTGGAGACGTCAAAGCCACAGTGCTTGACATGCGCGAGCAGGAGGACGAAGTGCGCGCGGCTGGATTCCCTCATCATGAACTCGAGACAGTGAATGAATCCACGCGAAACATCGACGACAACGAATCCGCCGTGTAGATTCATACCATGCATAGATATTGCATATTTGATCATCACTTGACTGCTTTCGAGCAATGGTGAGACGATTCCACTCACCACCGACATTCCCTACTTGCATTAGCGCTCGTTGATTTCAGTATGTAGACCGAGAGCGATAATTCTGAGCGTGTAGTGTTGCCTCAAGACAAAAGTCGGTGATCGAATGCGAGAACGGTGTCTTGCACCAGTTGATCAGTATAAACTCCGAGTCATCAACCCTGGGCGTTGAGCTCGAAGCCACGGCCGCCAAAGCTCCGCAAAAAGAACGGAGTACTCGACAATCTACTCCTGCAACAATTCCCTCTCCCCACCCTTCCGAAAATGAACAGCAATCCGGAAGTCGATTAAGCTCATCACTCACACGTTTGTCCAGCAAATATGCGTTCCGTAAAGTACGATGTTGAGCCTCAATTCTCTCAATTTCGTCGCGTGAGAACCGTTTCTCCAGACGCACTCGCTGTAGCTGCATAGCGACTACGAAGTCTTGATGTCTCACTTTGCACAGTTTATTCGGAAGGAAAGCTGGCACTTGGTAGATAGATGAACTGTTACCTTCAGGGAGAACACTGTTACTTTCCGAGATGATCTGGCTCAGTTTTGACAGCACAGTGAGGACAAACGTGCTCGTGACGTTCACCAAAGCCTGGTAAGTGTCAGGCTGCAGCGAATCCACTGCGTTGCTCGCGAAGTTTCCTTGCGATTTGAGAAATGTAGCCGTCGCCACCGGGTTCAGCAAGAACGAGCCGATCACGATATCCTCGCACGAAATCGATAGGAATTCGGACGAGATGAACGGACCCACCGCCCTAGTCATCATGGAGAGATGATTCATCAGATCGACGACAAGTTGGCGATCATACGTACTGCCTCTCAGTTGTAGCAGGACGCCATTGACCCGATTTGCTACGTTGGTAACCACACGTGCAATCACCCACCACGCTGGCGGTGGGACGCCGACGTATTGAAATTCCTGAATAAACTCAGACACCCTGGTCTGATTTGCCACAAGCCACTGCAGAACTTTTACAGCGGATTCCCATGACCCTTCTACCATTTTCAGGCAGTTTAGTGCGTCCGAGTTTCGTTTCTTCACGCTTCGTACACGGCTGACCAGTGCAGTCAAGGTATTCGTAAAATCTACTGTGAAAATGATCCTGCAAGCCTCACGAAGCAGTTGATTGAGTTTGTTCGCAAGGCAGTAGTCACCATAGATGGGGAAGTCACACTCTGCAGCCAATTTGTTTAAAATTCCCTGCGTACAGCCACGCGCTGTGCTTCCAGTTTCGTTTGACAGGCTGACTCCAATCAGCTTCGTCCTCCAAAGCGGCGCTATGATGTTCAGATATTTCTCTACTAAATCCACACTCCTGTCTGTCATATCGTCATCCAGCACTACAATTCCGATTAAATGCACGCTGTGAATCTCCCCATCGTGCTCGAATCGAACGCGTACATCAATAAATGGAGACCCAGCACAATTACAGACTTCCAGCGCCACAGCAAAGGCCCATACGTCTCCACTCTTGAACAGATCCTTCAGTCTCTCTAAATTCATTGCACACATAACTCGACAAAGGTTCATCACTCGTCTCTCCGAACACTGTCCGCCCTCCATGGCCCAGATATCGTCCATCATTTCTTGATACAATGACGCAGCTTGCTTGAACGACACGCCACTCGCCACAATCTTGACACAAGTGTTCATTTCCAGCTCAGAATCCACCGTGACGGCATATCTCGCCTCGTTCTTGTCCACATTCTCTGCGTCCGTGTCTACATAATCAATCTCAAACGCGTCAAAGCCGTAAAACTCGACGTCAGCGCCCTCCACTCCCCGTAATAAATCATCTACAATGTATTTATCCACCAGGAATGTCCTGGATCGCTTCATCGTCTCCACTGTCGCTGTATTGCGCTCCAACACTTGCTGGGCACTGATCTCCGTTGTCGTCTCCACTGTACCGACTTTTGGCTGTGTATTGATGACGACATCGTCTGGGAAGAAGCGGCACTTCTCCTCATCGGTCAAGTCTTTGTACTCTTCATAACGCAGCGCGTGCTGTTGCTCCAGATGCCGCCGCATGTTGTCGGGACGCCAGGGTGGCGAGAAACTATGAACTTTAGTCTTACGCTTCCGGCGCTTGGCGCCCTCCGTCTCGTCGCGCTTAAAGGAGCGGCACATGAGACACACGGCTTTTGTTGGCGCTCCAGTCTCTGGCTCGCACTCGGCTATGGCCACCGCAAACTGGAGCGCCCAACCAGGTCGGAACGTGCGCGACATCTTGCCTTCAAGGCAATGCCTTGTAAGATTGGATCGATTGTGTGTAGTTGGTGTGTCGTTTGTGTAACGATGAACGGCAACAGTGACGGCGAAGCATAGATCTCCACTGAACATGGGTCTTGCTTGCATCACGGTTTCTCTAAGTAAAGCAGTTGTATTAGAAACGGATACAAGCACACGAGGAGGAAGAGCGACCTCCTTCTCCTCGTCTCTCCACCACACGGCGCAATCAGGAAGGCAGGAGAACCTATGTCTAAGCTTAACGGGAGTACGTATTGCCCTGGCCACGCTTGCCCGTGTTCTGCCACTTCGCCAGCTTCGGTACCGATATCCGGTCGGCTTCACCCGCACGTCCCATCTTGGCGGCCTTGCGCTGCGTGAGCCGAGTCGCGCGCTTGACAGTGGCCATCGCTGCCTCGTCGCCGAAACCAGACTGGTCGCGCGGGGTGACCAGCGATTGTGAGCGGTTCTTCGACTTGGAGCGCAGTGCCGACTTGGCACGAGCACGCACGCGCAGGTCGGAGCTCTCGGTGGCGTCCTCCATGTCCACGTCCATGTCCTCACGTTCGCGCTTGCGGCCACGGCTTTCGTCGCCCGCCTTCCTCTTCGCCACTACGGCCTCCGCGTGCTTCATGTGACTGGTATCCACTCCAAGAGCCTCCAGCTCTTTCTTGGTCTCAGTAAGCGTACGAAGCTTCGCGCGCACCTTACGAGATACCGTGGAGTGGTTCTTGTTCTTGTTCTGACGGTGCTCAGCCACGATAATGGCCTTCTTGTCTCGGATACGAGCCAGCTTGTCCTTCTGTTCGTCGTCGAGATCGCTCATATCCTCGTCCTCGTCCATAGGAACGCTGTTCTCCATAGCTTCGTCCTCCTCCTGTTCCAAAGCCTCCAGACGCTTGAGAATCTCTGGGTCCACGAAGTCAGCGATGTTCTTGCCGTTCCAGATCTCCGGGATGGCGTCCTGAGTCCAGTCGTCGTTGCGTAGCATATTCGAATAGTGCTCTTTGAAGTTGTACGAGTAGACACCAGCACCACCGTTGGCGTTCATCTTGTCCTTAAGCAGCACACGCGGCGCCACACTGTTCGGGTTGTCACGAGCAGCAATGACACTGGCCGGAATGGAGAGTTCACGCTTGACGTCATCACGAGCCTTAGGCATCGCGACACTAAGACGGTTAAGCACGTCAGCCACCTTATTGCCCTTGACCTTGGAGTTCACACGGTGAGCGAGGAGCTCGTCACAAGCGTAGTTCTTGACTTCCATGACGTTCTCCTCCGAGTGGTTCGACATGGTGAAGAACTTGGCCTTAGTCTCCTCCACAGCTGTGTTGATCATGTTCTGGTGGTGCTCAGAAAGAGCCTCGAAGCGCATCTGATCGATCTTGTTGCACACGAGCACCAGAGGCTTGTTGGCGAACAGCGGGCGGATGTTCTCGAACAGACTCAGCTGCTGCTCGATGGTAAAGCCACATTGCTCCGAGATATCCATGAAGAACAGAATGGACGCCTGCAAGTGAGCCAGCGCAGTGACAGCCTGCATTTCAATAGTGTTACGGTCCTCAAGCGCGTGGTCGAGGATACCGGGGGTATCAATCACCTGCCAACGCAGATACTTGTAGTCCAAGTGACCCACGTACAGAGCCTTGGTTGTGAAAGCGTAGGGCTGCACGTCCACGTCGGCGCGCGTCACCTTATTCATGAAGCTCGACTTACCCACATTGGGGAAACCTGTGACCAGCAATGTGCGGGTGTTGGGGTCGATCGAGGGAAGACGCGACAAGTGCTTGCGCACCTCCTCCAAGTACTCGAGCGAAGCCTTCTGCTTCTTTAGCAGTGTACACATACGACCAAGAGCGGCACGCTTAAGCTGCTTGCAACGGTACAGCGAGTCACCGTACTTAATCATGCGCACATAGTCCTTCGCAATGTTGTCAATGAGTGCACGCGCCGTGTTGACCTGACCGAGCGCGAGTTTGTAGTGATCGCGATCGTACAGGATATTGATGAGGTCGGCGTAGAACGGGTGCAGGTCATCGAGGCGTGGGAAGTCGTCAATGATCTGGCTGAGCTTTTCCTGGCAAGTTTGCTGCGTGAATTTGACCTTGCGCATGTAGAAAGCGCGGATGCGCGAAATGGCGTACGTCGGGTGGATCACCGTCGGCGTCTTGCGCTGCGTACGCGTGAGCACAATGTCGATGAAGTCATTGGCCGTCGGCACCGTCTGGATCTTCTTAAAGTTGTACACCACCATCCTGACGTCCACTAAGCAGCAACAACACACTTCTTCACGAGCTTCGGGTCAATCAACGACTGGCAGCAGCCTTTCACACATCAGCGTTTTTGGTTGGCGCAGGACAAGTGTACCCAGTGTGTGGTACATAAGAAATTTGGTGTTCTTAGACACGATATTTTCGTAATGACTACATTTACGTACGCTACACAGCCCCTAATATCAGGGACACTGAATTCTATTTCGTAGTTTTCCAAACCCATACAAACTTTAAGCTAAGCCTCGCCCGCCGTCCGGTCGCAGCACCTCCGCATTACACGCAAGCAGGCCCCGAAGGAAGGAGGTGAGCTGTGATCAGTCCGACAGCAACGCAACGTCTGACCATGTGGACCGTACTCTTCGGCGAAAATGAGGACGATGCGGGCTCCGCACAGCCCACGCGCGACCCCGTCAAGACGCCCGTATCCCCGCAGCACTCGACGCCACCTGTGACGCCGTCGCCCCTGGAGCCTCTAGCTCCGTCTACGCCGCCGCCACAGCCTCCGCCGCAGTCTCAACCTCAGCCTCAACCCCGACGCGCTAACCCCGTGCCTGAGGGTAAGGGTGGGGAGGGCGATGACACGCCCATGTCCATGTTACTTAAGCGGCTTAATAACCTCATGGTTAAGGTGGGCGAGCACGAGTTTGAGAAGAGGACACTGGTTGATCAGGTACGCAAAATTTGAGTCGTGGGATATGTACTAGGCGACGTATTAATCGTGATCTTTGTGCGTAGATGGAGAAGGAGCGGAAGCTACTGACAGCCAAGATCTCGGACCTGGAGAAGCAGATGGAGGACGTCAAGGACCAGAACGTGCAGCTACAATACAAAATCGAGTACAACTCGGAGCCGATGCTCATGGAGCGTGTACAGGACGTCACGGACATGCGGTACGTGCAAGTTTACAGCGAATTTGAGAGGGCTCAAAGCTTTTTATTGACTTTTACTGTGTTCTGGTAGCGATGCGCTGGCTGCTGTGAAGAAGCAGCTAGAAGCGGAACTGCAGGAGAAGGAGACGGAGTTAAGGGAGATGAAGAAAGTATTGGCAGCCAAAGACAAGGAGCTGAGCGCTCTCCGCGAGGAGTACGAAAAGCAGATTGAGGACGTGACGGCAGAGCGAGAAGCAGCGAAGCAAGAGGCTGCTGACGCCGTGCGAGTGGCGAGTGAGGCTGCTAGTGAGAAGTGTGAAGAGCAGTTGAAGGAGAAGGACGATGCGTTGACGGCGGTCCAGGAGGAGAAACAGACGCTTGAGACGTCTCTGGTCGAGAAGGAAAAGGCTCTGCTGGAAGCTGAAGCTGCGACTGCTGAGGTGCAGAGAAGTCTGGAGCAAGTGCAGCGTCAAGGGGAGACGGACACGACGGCTGTGGAGCAATTACGCCAGCAGTTGGAGCAGACCGCCCAGGAACACGAGCGGAAGCTACAGCGACTGAAGGATGAAGGTCAACAGCAGCTGGAGGCTCTTAAGAAACACGCTCAGGAGCAGGAGAACATTGCATCGGAGAAGACACAGGAGTTGGAGGACTACAAGCACGACTGCGTGGAGCTGTGGAAGATTAATGAGGAATTGAAGCAGCAGATCGCACTTACGTCGGCCGAGACGATGATTAAGCACGCAGAACTGCGAGAAAATGCGCTGTCAGGTCAGACAGTACTCGAGGACAAGGTGGCTGAGTTGGAAAACCAGCTTGAGGAACTGCAGGAGCAGCTGAACCGGAAGAGTCAGGAGGTTGCGGAGCTCGAGGCCGAGGCCGAAAGTCGTACAATGGCGGATGGTGAGGCCTCAGGTGAAGATGACGACAAGTTTGTGGTGGTCGGAGGCGACGGTGGCGCTATCAGTATCCTAACGGAGCAAGTGGCCACTGCGCAACGCGAACTGACCGAGGCAATGGAGCTGAACTTGCACCTGAACAACCGTAACGCTTGGCTGGAGGAACAGTACCAGATGCTGTCCTCTGTGCAGTCTGAAGGGGACGACGAACAGGACGAGACTGGAGTTGCTAAGCCCTCGTCGGAAGAGCGTATTGCCGCGCTGGAACAAGAGCTCCAAGAAGCTACTCGTGCTGCGAACGAGCAGGCGGAGCATGTGTCGAATCTGGAGCAGAACTACAGCGCTCTCTCGACTGAGTTCGATCGTCTTCACTCCGCCCACAACGAGTTGATGGACGTGAAGCAGACGGATGATGTCACGCTGAACAGTCTGAGACAAGAGCTCGAGTCGCTTCGTGTTGCTCAGTTGGATGCGACAGATAAAGACCAAGCGCTGTTTTTCAAGGAGCAGGAGCTGGTGGAGCTGCGCTCGACTAACTCGACGCTGGTTGGCGATGTCGAACGCTTGCGTAGCGTGGAAAGCCAGTTGCAGCAGACGCATGACGCGCTAAGTAAGGCGCAAAATGACCTTGCTGAAGCTCAAGCTGTCAACGCCAACTTGGAACAGGAGCTCAACGAGTTGAGGAGTATCTCTGTTGCTGCCTCGAAGAATGATGAACACCTGGCTGCAATTCAGAATGAGCTGAACCAGGTTCGATCGGAAAAGGACGCCATTACGACACAGCTGACCCAGTCGCAGGCTTCTATCCACGATCTTCAGCTGAAGATCCAGGGGCTGGAAGGTATCGTGGACGGCCAGATAAATGACAAGAAGTCGCTGGAGCAGCAGCTTCAGAACCTGCAGGAGATGGCTCAGGAGAACATGGAAGGCTCGTACGAACTCCAAGCCAATCTGGAGTCCACGATGGAGGAGCTCGAGAAGGTCCAAGCCCAGTTGCGTGCTGAACAAGAGAAGTGTGTGGGTCTGCAGCAGTCAGTGGAGGAGGTGAAGCAGTCTTCGATCTCCCGTGAGAAGCTGGAGCGTGCACAGAGTGAAATTGCACGCTTGGAGCAGCAAGTTCGCCACTTCCACGGTCTGGAACAGTCTCTGAACCAGCAGTTGCAGGAGTCGGTGCGCGCTAAGGAGGCGATAGCTGTGGAACTGCAGACTGCTCGCTCCGAGCGCGTCGCAGCGGAGGAAGAACACCAGCGACTCAAGACGTCGTATGAGCAGGCAGCAGCGCAGCTTTCTTCTTCTCAGGCTTCGACGAGCGAGCTGCAACGCTCGAATGATGATCTTTCGCACTCGCTGGAGCAGACTCGTTCGAAGGCGAAGCAAGCGGAGCAGCAGATGAACGCGATGCGTGCGAAGCACAGTGAGATGCAGAAACAGGTGGAGACGCTGACAAAGAAGAACCTGTCGCTGGTGTCGGAGGTTCAAGGCATGCGTGATGAAGCCGACAAGCAGCAGCAGATGACTCGTGGTCAGCTCGAGCAGCTCAAGGCTGCGCACGCCGACGTCCAGCGTCAGCTAGCAGAAGCCGCACAGGCTCTCCAGGGTAAGGAAGCCGAGGCTGCTGCGGCAGCACAGCGCAGCCAAGCGAACGTGGCGCAGCTGGAGGATCTTGTCAATCGCTACAAGGCAGACAAGCAATCATCGGACCAGCAGTTAGCACAGCTGAATGCTAAGTGTGAGCGTCTTCGCCAGGTCCAGAACGAAGCCACGACGACGATGGAACGTTCTCAGCACGAGCTGGAGCAGATCCGTGTGCAGCTAAATGCCACCCAGCAGGAGAAGCATTCGCTCGAAACCGAGCTTGGTCAGCTGCGTGGCTTAAACGACGAGAAGGCTCAACTTCTTCAAGAAGCGGACGAACAGAAGCGTGTGAATCAGCGACTGGAGGAAACCAACCGCGAGCTGGAAGGCCTGTTGCAGAAGTCCAAGGCGTATTGCGAGGAGTTGTCGCGTGACAGCGAGGATAAGGTGGGTCGCGTGCAGGAGTTCGCTCGACACGTCGAACAGGAAGCACGCGACGAAATTGACCGCATCGCGCACGAGAACGGTGTCTTGCGGGACGAGCTGGAGCAGCTCGCTCAGGCCCGCTTCGAGGAGACGAGCGCACACGATGAACTTCGTGTGAAGCTGGCCGAGCTGCAAGCCGAAAACAACGTCTTGTCGGCGCGAGCGCATCGCCTGACGCAGCAGCTGTCGCAGTACACGGAACTCCCGGAAGATGACGAGCTGGCAGCGACAGGGCAGGGCCAGACGCCCGATCTGTGGGAGCTGTTGTCGTCAGGAATGGAGCAGCTCAAGGCTGACTTGGAGCTTGCCAGCAAGTACGCCGCCAGTATTGATGCCAGTAGCGTAGACGGCGGCATTGGAGACGAATCATTCACGGTCGCAAACTAGTGTACACTTGGGAGCTGAGGGAGCCACGCGTGAATGACTGGTTTTTGGCGATAAATCGGTGCAGACGTCGGTGGCTAGAACGAGGACTGCGGGTATTCCGTCTGCAAACCTTCGACCGCCGGCGTCTAGTTTACATATAAAATATACTTCCGTGTCCGGTTACTAATCGACTGTGGAGGTGGCGAGTACGTGGATGTCTGGTCGCTGTTGAGGTTCTTATCAGGCCATTTTTACTCGTGAGCTTAAGACCAAAGTTATCTCGGTGTCATCTCCAATTCAATCTTCACCAAGCGGCATCAACCCCAGGGCAGTATGGCAGACATAGCGCTGGAGATCCCGAAAAGCCGACTAATTGAAGCCAAACAGGTGCGCACAATGAAAGTTTACAGGCCGAACAGTGGTTGTTCGCTGATAACTCGTCGTCTTGGTACCTTTTAGAGACGACAAGAAGCGTCCAAGGATGCCTTGATGCTCAAGAACCGCATCGCTCTGCTCAAGGCCGAGGAAGAAAAGGCGTGGAAGAAGATCGAGCAGACGCGTCGTCGGGCTGCTGAACTGTTAAAACTCCGCGAAGACAACGGTCGAGAGCATGCCATGCTGAAAGAACTGGCCATGGAGGTGGAGCGTGAGACTCAAGCTTCTATCCAGGCCAAACGTGAGCTTGTGTTAAGTATCGATAGCATCCCCAAGAAGAAGGAGATCAGCATGCAACTTACCGAAGCTAACAGACGAGAAGCTCTTCAGCTCAAAGAAGACAAGCAGCGTTGGAAAGAGATCATGGACCGACAGAAGCGAGACGAAATGATGGATGCTCTCCGTCGCAAAGAAGAGGTCGCCAGTCAGAAAGAAGCCCTGCGTGTCAAGAAGATCATGCACAAGCAGGATATCGACAAGCACAATCGCGAACGGACCTTGGAGAAAGTTCGTGCAGAGGAAGAACAAACGCAGCGGCATGAGGAAGAGGTACAGGACATGGAGCGTCAAGAGCTCGAACTCATCCAGCGACTTCGCAACACTCAGCACTTGCAGAAGCAGGCATTCGAAGAGCTGGAAGCTGCCCTCACTGGAGGAAATGTCAAGCATTCTTAGGATTAAAGTCCTTACTGCTTCATATCGTCCTCACTCCATGTAAGACGCGATCGCATGTCGTTCGCGTCAATTAAAAGAGCTTGCTTGCTTGACCGACCTTCTTCAACGCTTGCATTGTCACAGCTTTCTTCTTGAGTAGCAGGTTCCTCGGGCAGGTGATGAATGGCCACCAGTATTTCGTTCATAAGCTCCCCTATCTGCGACTGGTTCCCAGCATCCATCAAGCCTCGGCTCAACTGGAAAGCTGCTTCACCATCAAAGAACTGGAGCGTAAGCAGGTGCAGCAATGATCGGATCATTGATTCGAGGTTACGCTCGCTGTTAGCCGGGCTTCTCTTTGCTGTGGATATCGATGCTGCTAGAGCGATTTGACACTGTGATAGCAGCACCGAAGTCCACAGAACCAGTGTATCGAGTTGCTCTTCTGCAAGCTCGCCACACTGTGGCAGCTCATTCGGTGAAGCAAAGCCGCACGGTTGCAGTAGCGTCATCACATTCACTTGTAAATTGCCAACACAGTGTTGGGTTCCTTCCAAGGATGTGTTCGGTAGGCTGACCTCCTTCGACGTCTCGCCTTTTGTCAGAAGCTGCAAGACCTCCCGCATGTGCTCAAGAGCGCCAATAAAGCTTGTACTCATCACGTCGATCACAAAGCGCAGCATCTTCTGAGCCACTTGCAGTAACGATGGCATTGTGTTACCTTTAGATGCTGCAACAGCCTGTTCGATGTCACTAAAGCAGTTTGCTTCGACCAACAAATCTTGCGCTTCTTGGATACGAACTTCTCCGTCAGCATCGAACCAGTAGCCACATCTCCGACACGTATCCAGTACTTGGAACCAGAATTTGTCGGCACGACTCGCCATCCACCTCTTCCCGTTTCCAGGGGCACTTGCACTGACCATACTGTCGTAAAAGTGAGAGGTATCATCGTCGCCCTCACCCGCTGTGGTCAAGAACTCGAAAAACTCGCGGACGCAGGTCGGCGCGCATGACAGCAGCAGGCTATCGATTTGGTTATTCACGACGTCATCCTTGATTTTGTCAAGCTTGCAACGACTCAACTGGTGCTCATTAATTGCCTTCACAATGCTGAGAAGGCACCCCGTCAAGCGATGAGAAGCAGAGCTGGATCCAACCAGTGGAGATTGAAGCAACTGTCCCGCAGTTTCGGCAACATCAAAACGAGATTTCGTGACAGCATTTCCAGCAATTGACAGGAAGAAACTCGCAGGGAAAGCAAGCTCTTCAGTATCGCTCTTGTGATCCTGTTCAGCTGGCTCCGCTGGGCGCTGCACGGAGACCATGAGCACGTCCAGTGCAGCTTTCACACACTCTATATCAGCTGTGTTCACAAGTGTGTTAACTGCTCGGGCTTTAGCCTTTACTGAACCAATCTGCAGAAGTGCTAGGGCTGCTTCTCCATTGCGACCACGCTTAATGAGGAAGTCACTGTACTTCCACAAAGCGTTGTGGAGTAGTGCGTCATTAGGCCCCAATCGCGATCGAATGAGCGCAAGAGCTTCCCTGAAAGCCTCACCACTCACTAGACAAGCAACAGCAGATCGAACTTTCCCGATACTGAGAAAATGAAGTGCTGCAAAGGTAAGAAAGTGGTAGCATTGGTTAGACATATAATTAGTAGCACCAGTCGTGAGTTTAGATAAACGAACCCGCTTCCTTCTTGTCGCCCTGGACATCGAGCTGGTGCGCGTATAAATTCGTCATCTCTCGCCACACATCCATACCCGCCATTGGAGCGTATGAGAGCCACGTTGGTGTTAATGATCCTTCCTTTGCAACGACCCGTAGCGCTTCAATGATATTACCTTGTATCAACAGGGTGTTGGCAAGACTTTCCCACTCTCGTTCGTCTTGGAAACGCTTGGATTCGGAAGTGAAGAAATCTCTTAAAGACGTGTGGTCGATATGGGCAAGAAGGCTGTCAACTGGCATGTTGGCATCCACTGTGTCTGTGTTCTCCACAATAGAATCGTCTTGTTTCACTCCAGCAATCTTGCTGCAAGCCGAGGCAACTTCCATGGAGGTCAGGTTCGTCTCGCGATGGAAAATCAGCATATTCTGCTTCTTCTTCTTCTGTTTGTTGCTCGTCTCATTGGATTTATCTGTCTGTGGATCATGCAACCTGTCCGTGTTGACCACTTGTCCATTTTCAGTCTGACCTGGCGTATAGTCTGTAGGTGACAAAGCTGCAATGGGTTCAACTTGCTGGGGTTGCTTCACCTTGCCGTGCTTCTTTAGTTTGGATGCTGCTTCTTTCTTCTGTTTTCTGTAATCCCAGAGACGCAGTGTTTGGTCCTCACCTCCCGTAATGAGTGTGTTATGCGACACCCAGTCAAGAGATAAAACCCGACCAATATGTTGGTTAAAGTGAGCTTCCCTTTGCATAGATGTTGTATTCCAAACCTGGACAGTGCCGTCCGCCGAGGCTGAGGCGAGAAGATACTTCCCTATGTCGATACTCCACCTCAAGCATGTGATCTTGTTTGAGTGGCTAACCATGACATGGCTTTGTTGTGTAGCATCAGATGTGCTATGTAAAGCTGATTCCTTTGAGGTTGCTTCCCCACAGTTGTAAACGAATACTCTCCCGTCTTGGCCGCCAGACGCCAGCAAATTAGCAGGTAGATCATTGCTCCACGCTACGCACGTTACGGACTCCAAGTGTTCGTGGAAACGGCGCACGATTGTGTTGCAATCACCTGTGCTTCCACATGTTTCCATCAATTCGACGGCACCGTTAGAACGACCGATTGCGACCATCTCACATTGCTCGTCCCACTTAAATGCGACGCAATTGTCTGTAATTTCAAGAGATTTCTGGTCCACTGCGTCGGCATTTGATTCAAAGAGATGGCCACTAGCGTCGCAGCTCCACAGCGACACCTGCACATCAGCCCATGCATCCTTCTTACTAGTTTGGTCTTCCTGAGCAATTAGCGCTTCTTCCAGACTCTGGCCACCTGCCTGAGCAGCTTCTAGTTGCTTGATACTCTCGAGAAAGGCGTTTTCTCCATCCTCCACGTCACCATTTGACTTCGGCTTTGTGATTACCCACTGTAGTTGCCGGACCTCACTGCTGTGGGTTGTACGGAAATGGTTATACTTCTTGGTTTGGATGTCATAAATTCCAATGCGACCGTCTTCCATGCCGTACGCCAATACCGAGTGCTGCAACGGATGCCATCGCACAAAGGTGACTTTGCTCTGCAGTCCCTTCCACAGGAGATCACACTGGTAGTCACTTGCCCCAGACTCAACCTCAGTATTCAAGTCCCATAGCCGAATTGTCTGGTCCCCAACTCCAGCAGCTACCAAACCCGTCGCTGCGTTGTACGAAACACTATAAGCATGGCCACCCAAACCGGTCAGCGTCTCAATACATGTTGCAGCTGCCAACTTCTTCGAAGGACCATTCTCCTTCCAAAGCCGCAGTTCTCGGTCCAGAGATACCGTTAGCATAGACACGACATCACTCTCGGCCGCACAGGTTAGAGGCACCATTGCAATGGTAAAAATCATGCGACTGTGACCGCCTTTAACGACAACAGGCTTGCATGCAGCACGTCGATTCTTCCCATTCTTTTCCAAAATCTCCGCCTTGACTGCATCCCATTCCCAACGAAACAAACTGCCATCAAACGACCCTGACCAAAGACAGTGCTTTCCGGAGATCGAGTCATCGAGGCTCCATGCCACAGGTAGCCATAGCTGCTTCGTTTGAGTAAATGACATTCCCTGTTTCCCCGTTGGAAGTCGCAGCACCTGCTCCAGCGCTGGTTCTTCACCTGATGTAATCTTCCAGACCTTAATCGTTTTATCCCTGGATGAAGAAGCCAACCACACTCCCCCATCTGACATATCTGATTCGGCACCATCGAAATCGTCCTGATCAACAGTGATAGAGCTGTTCGTTGGCTTCCACGCAACACATTGGACTTCTTGGTCATGACCATCAAGACGGTGGCGTACAGATCCTCGAGCAGCATCCACGAGACACAAGACTCCACTCCTGTATCCTACAGCTACCAGCGCTTTGTCATGCGGCGAAATAGCCATTGAATGGATCCCGTCACCTGAGACTGGCATGAACACAGTCACTTTTCCTCTACAGTCCTCGAGACAAAGCACAATAACGTGAGAGCCAATCGCCATACACAAGAACAAACAACCATCACGTACGCGTCACGTTCCCACGCACTGATTCGTCCTTGTCGATCGCCTGCAATGACAAAATTCGCGTCCAGCGTAGCAGACACCGTCACTGCCATCACCTCCGCCTTGTGCTTCTTGTGCTGCTCAATCATCGTCAACGACGCCACATCCCTACAGCACGTACGTCACCACCAATGCTCTCAAGTGTCTTATCACTAGCAGCACCCACCAGATCTGAACGCTGCCTTCCTCTCCGCCGCATACGAGCCGCAGCTCCCCCGTTGTGTCCATCAGAAACTGCACCGCAGTGACACGACGATCGCGCTTGCCACGCACCAATTGTGCGAAAAACGAGACCTTCACGCCAGCATCCCTATCGCTTGTCACCTGCCATTGACAGCTCTGCTTAGACGGCTCGGCATCACCTCATTCCACCACTAAATCCTAGCAAACCTGGTAGATAAACACGCTGTTCTTGGCTCCAAAGGCGAACAGTAGCCCAAATTCGTCGCTTCGTCCCCAGTCGCAGATCTACGAGCAACATAATCTCAGTTCTACACTTGACAAACAAATATATCCATTCTTCTAACACCAAAATCTCAGCAACAACACACCTTAGAGCAGTACCAATTGGCTGACGGAGGGAGCAGACGCAGGTGATCCTTCCCATGCCGTGAAGTCGTCGATTCGCGCGCTGCATCCCCCGCAACGCCGGCAGCCTCCGCGCGAGCAGCCACGACCATCACTCCCTAATTTGAACTGGCAGCGCGGGTAAATAGCTTTCCCTCATTATCCGCCAATCAACGTCGACGTAGCCAAGTCTTGTAGCTGCTCGCATCATGAGAAACGGCGGTCTCGCTGCTTAACAGTAAGGCCGCCCGCTGCACGATCGGGACACGACGACGCGGGACGCGCCACTCAAGAGAAGGACAGTTGAAGCTGCGCCAGTCGGAGAAACTACGTGGAAAAAAACGTCGCAGTTGAGCAGCTTCAGGTCTCTTCCTGTCCGTCACATTTGGAAGTTTCGCGACCAGCACAAGCGAATCTGATCGTCACGATGAGTCCCGCCATTTGTGCGGCGGGCGGCATGAGCGCAGCTCTAGGCTCTTCGCCTTCTTCAGGATGGAACTTGGGCGTACAGCGTCGAGACCGCAAACTATGGACTGCCACGGCCGAGAGACTGGAGGCCGACGTGGCTGTGCTGCAGCTCACGCTCGTGGAGCTGGATGAGATGCTCAAGCAGCTCATGGGCGTTGCATTGCCCAACCCGCGCATCCGAGGCGATGAGATTGCCGCGCTGATCACGGCGTTGGCTCAGATTCTGCCTTTAAGCTCGGGTCTGCTGTGCTCGGAGTTCACACGTTTCGTGCAGAAGTGCTGCAGCAGGGAGAGAGTGCTGTTCTCCGGCAACCAGTTGCGTGTGGTCATGACGTTCTTTCTAAAGTTCATCAAGACGTGTCCGAGCTGGTACACGGCCAACTCGATCCGTGCGCTGGGCCAAGTGCTGCACGATAACGCCGACCGGGCCAGCAACGAGTTTGAGCTGCTGTTTGCGGTATTAATGAAGCACTTGGACCCGTCGGGCGTGGACATTGAAGCGCGCTACGCTGCCACGAGCTGCGTGTCGAACATTTGCACGCAGGCAGGGAAGACACCCGAGGTGTACCACTACTTTTCGTCGTTATTGCGGATGGTGGTGGAGAACTTTCGGCAGCAAGCGCTCAGTCTGACGAAAGGTCAGAAGGACCGCATCCTGGTGAAAGCCTGTACTTCCAGCATGAAGTGCATCTTTACTATAATCAACTCGAACTTCGACCGCCTCCATGATCGCATTGCCGCGACGCTGCCCAGTCTGCTCAGTTCCATGCGCCAAGTTGTGGGCTATGGACTAGTACTCAAGTGCGACCAGAATGACGTCGTGTTCTCGTTTCAAGAAGAGCTGCACCCTACCGACAGCGATACGTCAGTCTGCGGCTCGGATAGTAGCACTGGGGGACGTCAAGTCGGAGAGTAAGTGGTGTGATTTGGTGCTGTGGAGGTATATTTCCATCCCTAATGCTGTTTTTGTGCTTTGTCTGTAGCGGTTTACTGGCACGTCTGCGTATTACTGTGCTGTATACGCTGGAAGCAATTGCTCAGCACTTTCCGAAAGCCATTACGTCTTCGATGGGGCTATATCTGCCAGAGCAGACTACGCCTTACATGACCCTGTTCAACAATACCCCATCAGTACTCACGCTGCTCATCGCAGACCCAAGCGAGAAGGCTCGGATGACCGCAGCAAAGTTCCTGGACGCGTTCTGGGAGAAGATTCCTTTGAAAATGTACTTCCGACGCCCATCCAATGCTGGTGCGACGGCCGCGGTGTCCACGTCGGCGATGTCGTTTGCATCGATGCCTAAACGCATCTCTTTGATGCTGTACCAGATGCACGTCACCCTGGTGTATTGTATCCAGCATGAAAAAGAGTCGTCACCACTGGCACAGATCCTGAAGGTGAGCGAAGAGATCAACTGCGTCGTGTGCGTGAGGTTGTTGCTAATGACGGATTGTCCAATGCGTTGTAGAGTACGGCGTCAGTGATCCAGCACTTCCCGTATGGAAATGTGGCTGCAGTCCTTGAACAGATGGAGCTTAAGCCAAGCCTGGGGGATGTCTTGAAGGCTCTTGCGTCAAGTTTGTACATCGCAGCAGCGTCAACAGGTACGGCTCGGTTTCTAAACAACAGATGGCTGCCTTGGTCTAACTTTATTGCTGATGTTGCAGACCACGGTGTGCGGATGGCCAGTTTGTCGTGTATGTCAGCGCTACTTAGTGTCCAGGAGACGCTTCCTTCCATTTTGGACTGGATGATTCACACCAGTGACACTGATGAAGTGATCCGGGTGGCACATGTGTCTATTGCATGTGGTACGTGGCTCCTGCGCCGTCGGTCGTTCGTGGAGGAGCTCTTGCTGATGGCGTCCCGACCCGACGATTCTTCACGCACATTGCTGCGCTTGGAGGCGATGTCACTGTTGTCCAAGGTTGCCAAGAACTACTCGCCAGCATTAAGTGCGAACTGGCAAAGGCTTGCGGACTTTATGTTGGCAGCTTTCCAAGATATGGACCCAAACGTTCGCCTTCAAGCGGTGAAGATATTGGAAAACTACATCAAAGGAGAGAATGGAAGCTCCGAGGGTGTAGTGCTGGGTAGTCCAACCGCTCAACCAACGTGTCGCGTGGACTGCTTGGAGTTTATGGCGACTCATTTAGTGCGAGCGTTCTACGACACGTCGCACCATGTCCGTGCCAGTGTCTGTGCCTGTTTCACACTTTTATCTGCTCAAGATTGGGCCTGGCTAGGTGAAAAGAAGCCGTCTCGACGCCTTCCAGTGCTGGCAGCTAAGAGTGGTGGCTACAATGGGAGCGGCCCGAACGCGTCGTGTCTGGACTCGTACACTCGCATCTTCCTACAGACCCCGAAAGACAGTTCCCCGGTCGTTCGCGCTGCTGGTTTCCGATTGTTGGGGTCGCTGTGTCTTGCGCCAACGTTTAAGACTCGTGCGTTTGCGAGTAGTGTGGTGACTCTGGCGTTGGATGCTCTGGGAGATTCTACCTTGAACGTGCGTGTCCGAGCTGCCTGGGCGTTAGGCAACGTCTGCACTACACCTGGTCCCGAGTCGATTGGTGAGACTGATGCTCCCCCACTACCGCCGCCGGCACCGCCGTCCTCGTTCGTTGCTAAGAAAGAGACGGCAATGTCGTATCCGCCGCTACCTCCACAAGTTCTGTATGAACTACTGCCAGCTTATCAGTTACGATTGGTGATCGAGAAGATGCTGGTGTACATTAACGACAATGACAAGGTGGCATCCAGCGTTGCGCGGACGTTGGGACTTGTGTGTCGTTGGATTAGCTTTCCGCCATTCTGGCGCTCTCTCAGCACACCGAAGGACCGAGCATGGCTGGATGATCTTCTGGGGCAAGCGATGGTTGTGCTTGCTGGAAAGATCAATGCCGGCTCGCCAAAGGTCCGATGGAATGCCTGCCACGCCATTGCCAAAGTGCTGCTGTGCCCCAATCTGCCACTTGCGTCGGTGACGTGGGCGCCGTCTGTCTTCCAGGCATTGCTGACTGCAGTCGCGCAACAGGAGAACTTCAAGGTGCGCATCAGTGCTGCCACGGCGCTGCGAGTATCGCAAACGCGTAGTGCGTTTGGCTCTTTCTTTCAATCGGCGCTTCGAGCCACAGTGGATGCGTTGGAGACGGCGTCGGATCTGAAGGACGTGACCGAGTTTCGCTACAAGGAGCAGCTGGAAACTCAGTTGTCCTTCACGTTGGTGCATCTCATCCATGTTGCTACCGAGGAAGACGATCCGATAATATTGGAGGCGTTGAAGGCCAAGCCTCGTGGATTCTTGTACGACTGGCTGCTGCATAACCTCCATCGCATGGTCGCGGCGATCGAGCGAGAGAGCGAATGTGTCGCTGGTGCCAGTACGGTCGGTGATGCTACGGAGGACAGCCGTGCAGGAGGAACTGGCGACGCGCACGACGTGAATCCCATCAAGAAAGAGGAACTGCTATCGGCCGTGCGCTCGTTGCTGCGCATTTTGGAGCGCCTTAACACGGACAAGGCGTACGCGACCAGCTGCGTTTCGCTCCTGTACGACACGAAGATCGGACTGGAGCACGATGTACTATATTCCAACGAGGATATCCCTTTTGAGCTTTGAAAGGACTACGCAGACATCGTCATCAGTAGCACTAAGTACCACACAAAGCGGACGAGAAGGGCGTGCAGCCCTGCGAACGGATTACCTCATCCAACTCACCAAACTTTGAATGGCAAGCAAGTTATTATTCGGTCAACTGATTGTGCCGTCGTGTACCTTGCTTGTCGTCGATGAAGTAAGCTTTGTAACTAGCGCCGAAAACGAGCACGTCTGTTCCTCTTACGACCGCCACGATGACGGCGTTTACGCGGTTGGCCTTCTGGTTGCTGGCTTTGGCGCTGCTTCCTTTCCTGTACTTCCTCATCTGTGAGCGGCAAGTAGTACAGCACTGGTTTTGTTTCGGTCTTCTGGAAGAACTCGTCGATCGTCACCTCTTCCGTACAGCACAAACGCGTTAGCTATTGTACATGCCCTACAGGTTATAGAGTCGGGTCCTTACTTTGGCGTTGAGTAGCGTGAGTGTCATTGCTTTCCTTAGTCTTTGGTCGGTTGGGCACGTTCTCCTCGCCATGTTGCGAAACCTTAAGCCACCGAAACTTAACGTTAAACAGAACTTTTGCTAGAAATCACCAGTGCTCCTACCTCCATAGCCGAATGATCTGCAAACTTGACACGGAGCGAACGTCCATTCTCTGGAGGCCATACCTTGCCGTTGAGAGCCGCACTTGTTTTCTTGGCCTGAGCACAACCGGAACCCGTTTAGAAATGCTGTAAGAAGTAGCTAGAGAAAAGAACAACGCACGATCTCAGACGTGGGGTACGTCACGAAACAATGTGTCTTGATCGCATCCATCCAGAATCCATCCTCTACATAATTGCCGAGCTCTTGCACAAGTGCCTGCCAAGTAAAAAAAATATATCACTCAGACTATCCACAACATTCAGTTTTTTATCCGATACGACAAACCTTGACAGCATTTAGCGTAAACGGCCGGATAAAGTTATCGATACGAAGCGTAGTCCTGTGTTCCTCTTCCCTGTTATCCATGGACGCTAGGTTAGCATATTTACAAATCATCGACAGGACACCGTTCCCCGTACGTTGCTTCGGCATCTTCATCCAAAGCCTTCTCAGCATCAACAACCGACGCCGGTTTATCGCCATCTTCATCTTCAGGCTGTAGGCTGCCGGTATCCGCTTTTTCAGTCAACTTGGCCTTCTTAACGTCTGGCGAGTCCTTATTATCGTCTTTGTCGACTGCATCCGCGCGTCTTTTCAGCGTTTCTGGCTTGTCCCCGCCATTATCCCTAGCATTTTGTTTCGGAGCTGGCTCGTCCTTTTTGTCCGATTTCTCCTCTTTGTCTTCGTCGATAGGATCCTTCTTGTTGCTAGACTCCTCCTTGCCACTTAGCTCTGGGGTTTTGTCTTTCTGCTCCGTCTCGTTTTCCTCCTGTGCACAGCAAACAGCACCATGAGATGCCAGCACCGGGCTACGAGGATCAAATGCGCCAAGCAGCTGTCCAATACCTGCTGCAGATGCTTCTTCAGCCGCTGGAGCAGCACTGCCTTGAGTCCGCCGGTATCCAGGCCACGCTTCTTTAGCTCTCGCTGTAAGTCTTTTACCTGTAAGAGATTGCGATTGAGATAGCACTACAATAAAAGCGGCGATGCAGACGTAGAGCCAACCTTCAGGCGAGACAGCGCGTCGGCGTCCAGTGTCATGCTGCGATCTAGCTGGCACTATGTCAAAAATGTGAATTTAGGGTGAAGGACACAATGGGGTGGACCACAGTGATCAGTGGAATTTAAGCAAGAAGATATTTTTCTTTCGACGAATGGCCAATTGACCATCCCAATTTATTGCAGCAAGTTGCATTGCGGGTGTCCGCAACACAGCTGCTCTGAAGATGTCCCGCTTGTCAGCACGAGAGAGAGTGGCTCTTGATTGAGACGTGCTGTGTGCCTTGTAGTTACCGTCAGCGTGACGTAGCTCCAGCAGCACGTATACTTAAAGGAAGAGCAAGATAGACGAGGTGGAAGGCAGGGAGTTGCCTGGCAGAATGCCGCGGCGGGAACAAGCAAGGTGAGGAGCTTGAGTACTCGCTAGTACGATTGGAAGTGAAAGCATAGCTGCGCCGCAGCCCGCTCCTCAACCTTGGGACCCATGCTTTATTTAGTGAGCAGTTGCTAACCACTCTTGTTGTCTTATATAGCTGCAGGTGCTGGTGCTGAGGACTAGGGCGGTTGCAACCGCCATGAGAGGCTGCGCCTCTCACCATCGCAGGAGGAATATGGAGTACAATCGCGTACGCGACCGTGTGGCCGCTGCTACACGTCGGTGCCAGCACTGCTCGCTGGCAGTCTGGCACTGGTACACGCTGGTACGTCACATTGATGTACGTCGAATTATCGAAAGACGATAAATTGCACCATATAATCGAGAGTTGCTGAGTGATGCGGTAATGAACTTGACAAATATTGTCAGCAGAACTATGAGCGCGTGCAGTCTTCTCGCTACGTCGATAGACCTAAGACTTGCCGTCGGCGCCGTGCTCGCTGGCGAAAGCTACTCAATAATCACGAACATCAAAATGCAAAAGAATATCACGATCACTTTCGCTTTGATCAAGGCGTATTCTTTTGACTAGTGAAGTGTCGCCGCAATGACAACCCGTCGTCAAGCTTTACTCTTCGCAGTGCCAGTCTGCGGCAGCACGCGCCTAGACCTATCAGCGATAAGAGAGCAGCAGTGCACTGTTGGATTGGGACTTGGTGCACGCGGCATAAGCCTCTAGTGTACGCTGGCAAGCGTCCACAACTGCATGTCAAGGAGAGGTCTAGGGAGTGAAGTCGTTAATAAAAAAATTCTTGAAGGAACCTCAATTTCTACTTGCTAGACTTTCTCATTAATCAACGTTCCTCTTCGGCCCCGTGTTCCCCAACAAAGCTAGCTTTGTGCACTTCGGAGCTCAAGTTCTTGATCACATATCCCAGACACCGCCATCTGGTACCCTTTCTCTCTTCGGTGCGCGTGCCGACTGAAGAAGAGCCTGTCGTCCTATCGGTCCAAGGTCGTACCGGACTACGTCAACTAACCTCTTAAGCTCGGATTCTTAAGTTGCCCTAATAAGCTTGGCTGAGGTGCTTAAGTTCTAGATTTCAACTTTGTCAAGAACACGCTACACGGCTGACTCAGATGGAGACGTGGAGATGCCAGACTCTCAGTCTATTTTCGAAGGTTTGCATCCACCAGAACTGACTAGCTGGGGGCACGCCGCTCTGGTTGAATGGCATCGTGGAGTGGCTTATTGTCGAAGTGCGAGCTACGTAAAGCTCATGGTATCGCTACTTAAGCACTCACATAGCCAAAATGTCCATAGGTTGCACATCGCCCGTTATCCAAGGCGGGATGAGCTCGACCTCAGTACTGCATTCTTCTTCCCGCTTCTCTCGTACGAAATCCATCTTAGGCTGTCTTAAAGAATAAATCGAGTACCAGATATACTGGGCTTTTAGACCTTGAAAAAATAACAATAAGTATTAGGACCTAAGAAGCAGAAAAAACTGAAGCCCACCTCACCAATCCAATAGAACGGCGCAATAAGATTTTTTTCCTAAACGGTCAGAATAGCATGGTGGCGATACAACAGATTTTGTTGCACTTCCTCCTCAACAGTAGGAAGCATACCGGTACTATATTGCGTCTTTTCGCATTTGCAATGTATTAGAAACGATTCCATCAAAGATTCTTTTAATAATAATACATTATCCATAAAGGCCTTTTGGAATTCCCCATAGCTGGTGATAAACCTTCAGATTTGATCTATTTTAGTCGCGTGACTATATAAAAAGCCTTTGTAATCATCAACTAGTCAAAGGGGTTTGCACTCTAGTGACTGGATACCCAATTTCTGATCAGCTCTTTTTAAAGGAGAATATGGGCATGGTAGACCCCCCCGATACGTGGAGTGGTTACCCGCTGGGTTTTTCCTATGAGGGCTTATTTCCCTAATCGTGCTGTTGGAAGTCACAGTAGGTAGATACCGATGCTTTGAGGAACTCGATGCGTCCATCAGCTCGACTTCATTTGACCTTATATGGGCGTTGTTCCTCTAGCTGTGTCATTAAAGTATTTATTTCACCTGTCACTTCTTTTACATATTTAAGTACAACGATCATCCATGATATGTCATCCACAGCAGCCAGGGTATATCCGTATCCCGTGCTTCCATACACTCCACATGCATTTTTTTCCCATTATATTCATAAAAAGAGCATTCATTGGTTCGGTTGGGTGAGACCCCACCATAGCCTTATAAGACATCCTATTTGAATTAGCCACAACACATGTTCGATAGAACAAGGAATGCATTCTGCAGGTCGTTGAAAGGTACATACGATACATTTCCCAATGCTCTACTTGCAATGAGCTTTACAAAGCTCTCTTTTCGAATATGCCGTAGACGCAGGTGTCATTATTCAAGTAGCCTTTCCAGGCCGCGGCTTTTCTCTTCGCGTGAGTCTAGTACTGTACAAAACGTAGACCTCCGCTGCGAAGATCAAATTAATGTCAGCTAAAGTACAAGAATTCACGTGTTCTCGACTGCATGTGCGAGAACCCTTGCTTTGCCAAATATATGGCACTTAATCTTTTCCACCCATCTGTATTTTGGGAAGTATGCTCTTTGAGCCCTTCTAAGCTAGTTTTACGAGAAATTTATCCATTGACTATTATTCAAGGTAGAGGAAGAACCACTGATAACTCCGCTCACACTTTTGTTTCTTCCCGAAGCCGGCCATGACCGTGTTGCGGGTTGGCGATCGGGTAAAAGGCATAGCACAGAAACTGGAGAAAAAGCTAGAAGCAGTCAAATGCGTTTACAGCAAAGGGCGTCAGCATTCGTACTGTTTTTTGTTGGTCAGTGGGGAAATCACTGAGGTGGAAGCACGTGCGATTAGCCCTCATTAGACTTCGTATGTGGTCTCAAGTACAGTTCAGGAGGAGACTGGAGCAGCGACTAGTGATGTGAACATTCGGCTTCCTCTGGACAATCTGACCATTACGACATTCGTTTCATGACAGTGGTGGCTAAGGACTAGACTAGCACGGCACGAGATAGCTCAATAAACACAGCAAAGAGGCCGTTGACCGCAGCGATAAGGGGGGGGTAAGCTCCAATAATGGTTTAAGATATCTGTGCTCGGCCGCCTCACTCTTTCCTCTTGATGGGCCTATTGCAGGCGTAGTTGTAGCTGTGTCCGCGCTAGCCACCGAGGGTTTGAAAGAAGCCAAAGGCTCTGAGTCGAACCAAACCGTAGAGTACAAAACGAAATGCTAGCAAGAAGTGCTTGAAGCACCGGTGACAGCTCAAAAGATCGTTTTCAAGAAGAGCTATGTGAAGAGGCGTATCTGAAACTGCTAACTAATGGGAAGAGCCATGTGACTAGTAGGAATAGTCATTTTTATAGATCACTGTCAACCCAAAGGACATGGCTAAAACTGGTGGATTGGTTGGATTATGTACGACAAATCGACATCGGAGAAAAGACCCCTTTTGCGTTTTTAAAATGCATACCGGTACCGTTATTGAGGGCGTGTATTTAAAAAGATAATACCTGGTCTACGCCATTTCCCGGCCAAGTTGCCAACCATCGTGCAAATAGCCCGTTCTTGTGTGATCTAATTTAAGGGTGTGTGGAGTCACATCATTTTTTCAACTGAAATAGTCTCTCTCACAGGGTCTGATATTAACGGAATTCTAACGCTGGGAAATTGTAAAGAGGTTGGCGGAAGTGACAAAAAAACGGGATTTATAACGGATGTCCGTTACAGAACTGGGAGGTATCTAAACACACATGAAAAACACCTAGAAAAAAGGAATCGAGTACCCAAATAGTGGGAGACGAAGAGAAAGAAATGTTTGTGCCAAACCCAACACGAAAGAGGAAGCCTGATATGCAGCTTAGAGACAATGTGCGTAAGGTTCATCGAATGGCAAGAAAAACAGAGCTCTCATTTAAAAAGTTGCTAAAGGCAGCACTATCAGGTCCATTTGTTTAGCAGTGGGAGGATGCACTCCGAATTAAGTACAATGCCCTCCTTGAAAATTGGACGTAAGAATGTTGTGATTGCCTCAGGGTAGGCGTGCTTTTAGGGTGTCATTGGCTAAATGATGTTAAGCGCAAGCGCAATGCTGATAACACCATTGAGAGATATAAGGTTTTCCTTGTAGTGCAAGGCAATACTAGAAAGTATGGGATTGATTACGAGAAAACATTCTCTCCAGTTGCCCGAAACAAATCATTGCGACTGCTACTTGAAATCGCCATAATTAAGGGCTACCATCTTCACTATATCGATGTTCGACGGCATTTTTAACGGAGCGTTTTTTGCGAAAGTTTAAATGCACCAACCATTGGATTTAGGAAAGTCACGCCAAAAGAGTGTGCAGGTTTACAGAGCGTATGTATGGATTGGCACAGACCCCAATTATGGTATCGTGTTCTGCATGCGTTTCTAGAATCGGTAGAATTTTCATGATCCAAAAAGGAATCTGTTTCTTTTGAGAAACGTGAGCGTTAGCGGAGTTTCACATACTGTAATAATTGATGTGTATGTGAATGACCTTACCCTGTCAGGATCACATATGCCCTCTCTTAATGAAACGAAAGGTAAATGATCAGCCCGCTTTCAAATAAAGGGTTTGAGTGATCTTCACTAC